TTCATTTAATAGCAATGCTAAAAGCTCTTGCAAACACATGGGTTTAAACGTGTTATTTTACATGAAAATTAAGATAATCAAAACGTGAAACAATAGCATGAAATGACGATTTATCGAGAAAAACACAGTAATTCGGTTCATAATTAACCAGGAAGAAAATAAATGAATTACGAAAAGTAGTTATGAAAGCAAAGCATGGGTTGAAATGACCAGTAGAAATTAAGAGCTACTAACTTAAATACAATGTACGATGTGCGTTAAGAGCCATTGTAATCTGCAGGAAAGGGTCATCTCGCTGATCATTTGATGTAATATTCCACAACTGTTCCACTGGTTATTAATGAACATTTATGGAAGACGCAAAATAAATAAATATAATTTTTGTCCAACTGATTGTTCAGAAAATTGCCATCGATTGAATTAGTATAGGGAAAATGTCATTTACAATAAGAGTTGTAAGAGAGAGAACGTATTACCTATATACAAGTTAAGGTAGATATACTGGCTATATATGAAGACAAATCCATTCAGTATGGGGGCAAATTTAAGAATTATCCATCGGGGGTTTTCACTACCATATACGTGCGTTCCGTGTTAGACCATTCACTGTATGGATGATTCGCAAAACCATCAAGATACAATATGTAGCTTGGTGGAGTGACACTTTCTGTTATCAAATATATAGGAAAAAGAAGCCAAATAAGAGCAAATACTCGTATACTTTTGATTAGACTCTATATAAACAATGTATTTGTGCGATCTAAGCTTTGTGTTTTCAGTATTTCCTCCAACAAAACATAAACATGTATACTTGGCTCCATAGCCGTTTAAAGGATAGTATTATGAATAATAGCCGAGATTTTCCGATTGCATTCTGCCACTACTATAAACACCGGTCATTGAGGTGAGATAAAATGAGCCGCGTCACGACAAAACCAACATAATGGGTTTGCGACCAGCATGGATCCAGACCAGCCTGCGCATCCGCGCAGTCTGATCAGGATCCATGCTGTTCGCTTACAAACCCTTTTACAAGTAGAGAAACTGACAGCGAACAGCAACAACATGGATCCTGATCAGACTGCGCGGATGCGCAGGCTGGTCTGGATCCATGCTGGTCGCAAACCCATTATGTTGGTTTTGTCGTGACGCGGCTCAAATCGAGGCGAGATAAAAACTGTTTTCTATTACTTTCTGTATTTGAATATTAAATTGTGCACAGAAGACGTTTGCGTTTCTTTCACACAACTTTCGTTTCAAATTTCATGTAGTTTAAAATGGCAGCCATTTGACAAGTGAATAATTGTATATAATTATCAGATTCTGTATATTCTGAACTGCAATAAAGTAACTTTTAACACATTTTAAAACAAAAAAATAAGTAAGAGGATACACCAATGTAAATTTTTATAGTTTTGTTTTTAGCATTACCTAGTAAACATACTTCAACTCGAAGGTTAACTATTTAATACTATAGGACAGCCCTAGTGTCCCAAGTTTCCACTCTCATATACGCCAGTCGAGGACGAACAGCGGGACGGGCACCCACATTGCAAATTTATATGCCCCTTCTCCTAAGTTATGACATAAAAATAACTAAATTTTATATTTTCCAGTATAATTAGACGCAGATTTTGAGTCTCGTTTTTCTTTTCGACTAGGAATCTTGAGGAGAAACTGCAACTAAATATCTCTACCCGCAACAATATTGGTTGGGCTTGTTTTTTATGCTCCGATGTTTCTGCTTTTTAATCGTCTCCTAATCTTATTAAACCACCTTCTTGATTGCAAACGAGGAGCAATAAGAAATTTCAGTAGCCCACCAATTCCTGCATTGTTGAATATTCAAATAGTTTCCGTGCCTCTTTGTGGCCACTATCCACTGACAACTTTGACATTGTGTTGAAAGAATAAAGCTTCTTCTTCTTCTTCATGAAGTTTCAGTGGTCATGTCAGACTCCCTCAATTTATAATGAAAACTGGATTTCATTTTCATTTCAGAGGATGATATCTTCTTGGGTGTCTAAACATATTATGAAAAGTAAAAAGAATTTCTCCCCTGACAGGAATGGATCGTACATCCTAGAGACAGGTTTAGTGTTCTGTCCCTATAACTCCCTTCATTCTAATGCTTTTCAGGTGCGAATAAAGAATATTTCTTACCAGGGAGGGGGGGGGGGTATTGATAATGTCGGATCTTTAATGTAATTGTAAAATCTTTAGTGTAATCGTAAAATCTTGATTCCACCTGTTATCAAATACCCAACATTTACTTCAGACATTCTTATTTGAAATGAATAACACTTTTCATAGAAATAAATCAAAAGATCAAACATACTGAAAAATATATTTTATTGCTGGTTTTTTTTTTATTTAAATAATTTATTGATCAACAACAAACAAATGTCAAACACATAAAAAAAAGCAACTATAAATAATGAAATGATACATGTATATTTGGGTAACCCCAGTATTTCCTGGAGTATTGTTTAGTAAGCCAGTACACATAGGAGAGATCAAAATAAAACAACTCATTTGTATCTGTATCACAAGAAAAGTGACTAGAAATCAAATATTTGTGTAATCATTATTATCGGACTTCACTTTCATACAGTTTAATACCATTACCAACCTATGACAACAAATATACAAGAGGGTCGAAATGGCCTTGTGCATCTCCCCTGAATTACATGTATTTTAAGAGCTGTCCGAGGAGCAGCTGACTCCATAGTGAACTACATATCTATCAGAATTTAAATTTCTAAATAATTATTCTTTACTTAGAAAAATCATAAATTAGAAATTTTACTGTATGTATTCCTACTCCCAACAAATATATTCCAGGGGACATAACTTTTTGAAGTTTCTATGCAATGAGAAATCATTTGATAATTTGGGATAAGCTTTATTAGGAATTTTAAGTATGTTTATTGATGATAATAAAAAATTAAGAAAAGCTGACTATTTCAAACAATTTGGGTTTGTGGGATTTTCTTTTATTTTATATGTGGCATTTTTGGACATGAACCAGCTAAAATTACCACTTAGCCAACAGTTTACAAATGGTTATGGTATCATTCCTTTTTTAAATTAAAATGAACAGAATGACTTATACTCATAAACCATTGGATGTTTGTCCACACTGACAAGGTGTAGACTATATGTTCTACTTCTACTTTGGAGAACAATATAATGCTGTTTGTAACCTTTACCAATGGTCCACCTTTAGCATTGGCATATCATTTGGCAGTACCACACAATTTCTTTTCATTGTTATACCACAGACATGAAAAACACAGTGTTGTACTATGAAGTAGAAAAGAAGCTTATTAAATACAAAAAGTATCTAGCTGTCAATTCTGCAAAGAACTATTTAAATAATTATATTTAAACCTGTTTCAACAATGACTGAAGAAGAGAATGACAAAAATAAATGTATTAAAAAAAAAACTCAATAAAACACATTTAAAAAAACAAGTCTTCTGATTCCTGGATGATAGAAATGTCCAATCTTCTCAATAAGTAAAATAAGAAAGCACTATAAAATAAATACAGCATACATTCCATTAGAACAAAGATAACTTAAAAACTTAAAACTCACAAGATCATTATAATATTATTATCATATTCTTGCTCTTTCAGCATCACTACCTCTTAATTTGCTCAATTTGTGGGATTAGCACTGCTTTGAAGTTACCGGGTATGATGTCAATTTGTACTCATATATTTTGGATTTGACCTTTTATAATTGTTCATGTATGTACAACTAGGATTTTTACATTTGAGATATATTTACCTGAAGGTTTTCTTTTGTATAACCAAAATATGATCACAACTGACATACTTTACATGCAAATCCTTAAAAAGTTGGCTTTTCATTTCTTTTATCATGGTTGTAGTAACTCACATTTTATGTGAGCACTATATTTAATTATTAAAGTTTATGAAGCTAAATATCTGCTGCAAAAATTATTTTTTAAATTTTGAAAATGAATGCTTCCAAAATGCATGTATAAAAGAAGAATAAAGTATATTGCCTTAAAAGCAAATGACGCATGCATAAAATCATTGTTAAAACTCTACTTAAGGTAGCCTCACAATATTTTGTTCTGAAACATTTGAGCCGCGTCATGACAAAACCAACATAATGGGTTTGCGACCAGCATGGATCCGTGCAGTCTGATCAGGATCCATGCTGTTAGCTATCAGTTTCTCTACTTGTTATAGACTTTGTAAGCAAACAGCATGGATCCTGATCAGATGGCGTGGATGCACAGGCTGGTCTGGATCCATGCTGGTCGAAAACGCACTATGTTGGTTGTGTCGTGATGCGGCTCATTTTATTCTGTTTACATACAATATTCATATGAAACATTCTATTGCCATTTGATTTAGTATACAAAGTGTTGTAAAGATTTTTAATGGAAAATTTCGATCCTGAAACATTTTTATATCATTAAAAGTAAGACAAACTTTTACAATTTAATATAAGCATTTTGAAGTATCAACAATATTTGATGGTAAATCATATTTAATGCAAAAACAGACTTGTACTGCTTAAATATACAGCAGTCCTTTGTTAGCTTTAGAGATTTTGAGAACAACTACTAGAATAGTACCAGCTAAAACCCTTAGGATCAAATTAATTTAATCACGTTTTTTTAATACAGAAAAAGATTCTTCAATTAATAACAACACCTTGAATACATATGAGCCACGTCACGACAAAACCAACATAGTGCGTTTGTGACCAGCATGGATCCAGACCAGCCTGCGCCAAAACCAACATAGTGTGTTTGTGACCAGCATGGATCCAGACCAGCCTGCGCATCTGCGCAGTATGATCCGGATCCATGCTGTTCGCTTACCAACTGTATTACAAGTAGAGAAACTGATAGCGGACAGCATGGATCCTGATCAGACTGCGCGGATGCGCAGGCTGGTCTGGATCCATGCTGGTGGCAAACCCATTATAATGGCTTTGTTGTGATGCGGCTCATATAATTAATCTGAGTTATGCATATAAGATATACAGAGAAATAAGGCATATTTGATAAAAATACCTAGACCATGTCTTTACATTTTCCTACTACTATATGCTGGTCTATTTTATCCTTACCTCTCCCTAAATAACTTAAATGACTTGTCAATCTTTCAACCTGGACAAAACCATTCAACACTTTCAGGGGAAAATTTTCAAAATATATATTGACTGAATGGTGAATAAAGCAGATCGTGATTGGATTGCACTGCTGTGCTGATTGATGATCGTCTGTACTGGTTTGTGCTGGTCGCATGAGAAGATTCCAGAGGGTTATTTACTTTAACTATGTCGCATAACCTGTACTGTAACCTTTCATGCCTGTTCATAACTGAGGACGAATCTTCATTGATGCTTTCACTGTAAGAAGAAAAACAGAAAGACAGAAATGTAATAACAACAATTCTGCAAATATACTATATGAATATATTTCTTTTTAAATCGCAAACTAAATTTACATATAAGCAAGTATGTCTCTTGCACCTCATGTTCAAACTCAAGTAAAATTATAAACAGTATTATATAAATATTAGCTCCCCTCAAGATTGACAGAGCATAATAAAGGTTATGTTCACTGTTAAAAAAAAAAATTAATTTTCAAGGATTAACAATGTTAATGCATGTTCAACATGTCATGCTATAACCCTCAAACAAATCTTATATTTACTTTACTAGGCCCTACATAATCTACCTATAGCAATAATAAACAAGAGGGCCATGATGGCCCTGAGGTCGCTCACCTGTATATAGGCCCCCACAGCGGGGCCAGTTTAAACCCCAGGGCTTTTATTTGAACAAACTTGGAACACCCATTAGAAGATGTTTCATGATGTTAAGTTTTTACTACACACATATAATGAAAAACAATGACCTCCTTTTTCCACCCCCCGGCAGGGCCAATTTTAACCCAAGGGTTTTTATTTGAACAAACTTGGTAGACACCCATAAGAAGATGTTTCATGCTAAACATCTAAGCTCTAGCTCATTGGGTTTTTTAAAAGAAGATTTTTTAAGTTTTTACTATACACATATAGTTAAAAACAATGACACCCCTGGGGCGGGGCCAGTTTTGACCCCAGGGCTTTTATTTGAACAAAATTTGTAGACACTTACTAGAAGATGTTTCATGCTTAATATCTAAACTCTAGCTATTTGGGTTTTTTCAAAGAAGATTTTAAGTTTTTGCTATACACATATAAGGAAAATCAATGACCCCCGGGGCGGGGCCAATTTTGACCCAAGGGCTTTTATTTGAACAAACTTTGTAGACACACACTAGAAGATGTTTCATGCTTAATATCTAAACCCTAGCTATTTGGGTTTTTTCAAAGAAGATTTTTTAAGTTTTTGATATACACATGTATATATAATCAATGACCCCCTGGGGCGGGGCCAATTTTGACCCCAGGGCTTTTATTTGAACAAATTTGGTAGACACTCACTAGAAGATGTTTCATGCCAAATATCTAAGCTCTAGCTCTTTGGGATTTTTAAATGATGAAATTTAAAGTTTTTTCTTTCGGTTGCCATGGCAACCAGAGTTCTGCATGGAATTAAATTCTTTGAACATTTTTAAAGGTGACCACCAAAGGAACATTCCTGTGAAGTTTGGATGAAATTGGCTTAGTGGTTTATGAGGAGATGTCATTAAAAGTAAAAGTTTACGGACGGACGGACGGCGGACGAAAAGCGATCATAAAAAGCTCACCCTGTCACTTTGTGACAGGTGAGCTAAAAAATGACTGACTTTTTCGTTCAAAAATAATTCAATCTTACAATCATACTGTCACAACTGGAGCAGACAAAGGGGCATAATCCTTGTCACTTGCTACTGTTGTTGTATTATAAACAATGTAATAAAAATAAATTACCTTATAATTAGATTTACATTAAATTCAAGGTTTTACAAAGTGTAAAACATTTTGGTACAAAAAGCAAAATAGAATGCCCACAAAACACCAAGCAATAGTTTAGACTTAGAGCTTTACACTTATTTTACTTCTTCTATTTGAAGCACGAACCCTGTTAATTAAGTCATATTAGTTATTCAGAAATTATGGGCTTTTTTTCTTCAATAACAAGGGCTGCTTATAGGCTACTGCTCCCCAGGAAAATTCTTTAAATCATTCAGTTTTCCCATAAAATACCATTTACATCAAAATATTTCACTCTCAGAAAAATACTGTGTTATTTGTGCCCCTTCACCTTTCTGTGAAAACACTAAATAATTTATAGGCACTGAATTATTTATATAAACACAATAATATTTATTATCAGACAGTAAGCAAGTAGTTTTTAATTGTGTAATAAACACTTTCACTCCAAGCACAGGTCTAACCACTTTTTAAGGTATGTCTCATTTACTAGAACTCGGACATAAATGACACTGAAAGTGAGGGAATAAAATAATATACCATTCTGTTTTTGTTCATTTTCCAGTATAACAACCACATCTTCTTTCACTTTGCTGGTGTTTGTCTTCAATGAAATATAGGCTGGAAGTTTTCTCTCTTTAAATGGTAAATCTATTTCACTGTCAATATCAGATGCTTGTTTGTTAGTGTCCGTCTCAGAACCTACTGCATTCTTTTCTTTTGTGATAACAGAGGCTAGGGGCAATGTAGCTTGCTCCAACAGTTTTGGCTTTTTGCTATAAAAAAGAAAGTTATAAAAGAAAATAGTATATAAATATCCATTCTAAGCATAAGGACTGTTATGCTGATTTCATTTTAAGAATTTACCACTTTTCAAAGTAGTAAAAAACCAGAATATTGATTTGACATCATTCAAAGTTAATATTTCTCATTTAATCAATGCAAATATCTATATAATTTTAATGTACAATAAATTGATTACGAAAGACAAAAACACCAATCTAGAAAGAAGGATAATATTAACAGTTTGTCCAATTTAGCTAAATATGATCTACCGGTAATTAAAAAAATAAGAGCCACAGCTGTGAAGAAGAAGCACCTAACACAAGGGCCACTTGGTGTCTCAATAATATACAGGTCATATTTTAGATTTTATCTGTTTTAAACTAGGTACTTTTTATACTTATTTAGATTAAAATCAATATTGAGGATGGGCTATTAAAGTAATACTATAAGTATATTATGCTATAAGTTTCTTACAGTTCAAGTTTTTTTTGTTTGCTTTTGTTTCTTTATTTTTACTTGAAATACTAGCTCATAGAGATAGAAAAACAACAAAAAAACTGTTAAAAACAAGAGAGCCATGATGGCCCTGAAATCGCTCACCTGAATATAAAAGCTCTCCATAAACGAGAATAATTTTGACCCTACGGCATTAATTTGAACAAACTTGGTAGACACCCATTAGAAGATGTTTCATGCTTTTATTTGAACAAGCTTGGTAGACACTCACTAGAAGATGTTTCATGCCAAATATCTAACTCTAGCTCTTGGGGTTTTTTAAAAGAAATTTTTTTAACTTTTTTCCTTTGGTTGCCATGGCAACCAGAGTTCTGCATGGCATAGGTGCACACCAAAGGAACATTGCTGTGAAGTTTGGATGAAATTGGCTCAACGTTTTATGAGGATATGTTGTTTATAGTAAAAGTTAACGGACAGATGGACGCCCGATGAAAAGCGAACAAAAGCTCACCTTGTCACTTTGTGACAGGTCAGCTGAAAATGGAGAACAAATTGTTAGCATCAATATTGTCACTTTAAAACTGTACATTAAAGTGACTTAAATGCATTAAAGGAAGTAACAAAGGTGGTTCGTATACACAGCAATGTGTTTCCTTTTTTTGCCCCAAAAGTGTCAGCTTAAATTCATTTTCAGCACAAGAGCAACTATAAATAAAGGGGCTATCAAAATGGTAAAGTTGACAGAAAGTACATTTGTATCATTTGAAAAATTTATGGGAAATATAATCAACAACAACAACAGATATTGGGACTACCACAAAAGTTTACATTTAGGCACTCTGTGCTCACACAGTGCTCATATGAGGTAAAAAAGCAACATCTATTGTTTTTTTCCCCCGTAATCTTACTTGTTTTCTTCAGTAGACTGATCTATCGTCTGCTGCTTTCTTTTCGCCCTCCGATGCTGAAGAGTACATTTTTTACCTTTAGAACATGATCCAGTTTGTGTAAACTCCGGACATTTTAGAATGTGTTTCTTCTTGCACTGAAATGGTAAAGAGATGGTTCATAATTTTAAAACTGGGTATACAGTTTTTTGTTGAATGATTTAAAGGCACATTATGCCTCAGCAATGTTTTTACATTTATTTCTTATAAGCTTTTTTTTATTTTAGTGTACTTAGATAGTTTCCAAAAAGTTGCTCGTTGGCCAATTGCTTGAACCAGTTTTTTTTTTAACCGTTGCCTTTTGACAATTGTTACAATTCCACTGATTTAGTATTTTGTATGGACGTTAAAATACTACTTTGTTTACATTTTGCTACTTTTGTAACAAATAATATCACATTAATCACTACTTTCTTCATGTTACAAGTCTCTAACATACCCTTATATCATTATTTACAAGTTATAAAATTCATGTTTTCCCTTTCTAAAGAAGTTACAAACATATTTGTTAGTGTGGCCAATTGTGCCTTTAAAAATTCTTCACCAAAAAACAGCTTTCTCTGCAGTCACATACAAATTTTTATAAAAGAGATGCTAGAAAGTGTATCAATATTAATCATTAAAATAGCTATCAGCTTGTAACAGACAATTCAGCAGTTACTGGTGTAATGTTTCCTGGTTACCTAAACCAATATACTGTAAAAGTGGAATTTACTAAAAAAAATTTATCTTGTTTCTTTTTCTGGTTGGGTTTTAAAATCACAACAACACAGTATAGGTGAAATGGCTACTTTCCAGCTTAACTCTTGTAGGAAGTCCTCTGGTACCCCTCTGTACATTATTTTAGGCAGAAACAGGCACCTGAGTTAAACCACAGACATAAGCAAGCTGGATAGTTTCCTCACAAGAAATAAGAAACAATCCAAAGTCGCTGTTGGGGCAAGTAGTTTGAAAACAAGGACTTTAACAACTCAGCCACAGATGCCCCCCAAAAAATTGTTTCAGATTTTGTAGAGTCTACAGATAACCAGAAAGGATTATCATGGTCAGATTATTTTAAGGAAATTAACATGATTTGTGCATAATGGAAACAGGAGTTAACTTTTTTAGTAATCAGAGGATCTTAGGTCTGTATCCAATTTCATTCATTTTACTATTTAGCAACAAAATTTCCATAGAAAAGGAAATTAAAATGTTTTCCCTGATGAAAATTAAAACGACATGCACACTGAATCCCCATATCATCACCTTAGTGCAGTAACAGGTTAAGTTCTATAGAATTTAAAAGGAGTTAACCTGTACTGCACTAAGGTAATGATATACATGTAGTCCTGTATCACATACTTATTCTCTAAGTATCATGATCGTAGCTTTTGTTCTTAAAAAGATTTTGCTGGATTCGGATTTCTCCAGATGTCTGGAATGACAGGTGGAGCATAAACCTCAGTATAATAGTCCCCTCCTGTGAAACTATTGGTAGGGGACCAGTGTTTTTCTGCTTATATAACAGACTCCGAAAAAAGGCCATTTCCAAATAGAAATTTTCTTTAAAATCATGCAGTATTCCCAAAAATCTGAACTTAAACCTGCTTTTTTACTTACCAAATCAGCAATTTTAGCGATAATTTTCCAAAAATCAAGAGGCTAAGGCCTCTTCCCAATTAAGTGAGAAAAATCACTGGGGACAAAAATACAGCAGCACATCAAGCCATTAAGTCGAATACTTTCTAAATACATTCTGCTGATTAAGCCTCTGCTAGTGTCAACAACAAAAATTTGCTTTTATTATGATATAAAATATGTACTTATTACATTCAGTGCATAAAGGGAGATCACAGAACAGAATTAATTCATCATATCAATTCACGAAGTAAATTCCTAGTGATGATTAAAGCAGATTAATTTAGAATTGTTCATATTGCAAAATTCAGTGTATTGAAACACAAAATTTTCATCCCAGAATGGCTGAAACATGGAGAATGTATGCAAGGTTTTACCAAGTTTGATATATTATAACTTATAAGTAATAACAGCAGCTAAAATGGTGGGGCATAATAAACAAAAATATTTTCAAAATATACAATGGTTTTAAAGTAGTGTAGTATACAGGATTGAACATAATTATCAGACAATGTAACTTAAGTTTATACTGTATAAATGGACATACAATTTGTGTTTAACCCCCAGTCGGCAAGTAGCAACTGATTCTACCTTGAAACCAGTGCAGAAAAAGATTATATTGCACATCAATAATGGTCTGCATTGTTTGCTATTCAGATAGTACATAGGCCTACTGATATTTTGAAATTTTCCCTTAAAATGATGAATGGTTTTGTCCAGACTGAAAGGTGGACAAGTCCATTTCAGATTTTTAGCTTGGTATGGATAATGGGCTAAACCCATGTATTACATACTCTCATTTATTATACGTTAATAAGTATAAATTATAATGGTTACATATACAGGTCGTTATATTGATTTATTATTTCATTCCTCTTTAAAGCAGCTGCTTCATCAATTTAACCTACTAACCCCGACTTTATTGAATGGATTTGCCCTAATTTGAATTTGGAAAAGTCCACTTGAAGTTAAAGGGATTTCAATATGAAAATACATTATATTGACCTGCCTGGTCAGACAGCATAGAAGTGTCAGTTAGCCTAGCTCTATACAGGATTCTAACACACAGTGGTGATTGGTGATAAAGATGTATGTGGTCATGGGCAAAAAAAAATCTGTTTTAAAAGTTGTAAAACATCAATAAACTTTTAAACAACTTATCATCACCTTAGTGCAGTAACAGGTTAACTCCTTATATAATTTAATAGGAGTTAAACCCTTTACTGCACTAAGGTGACATTATGCCCTTTTCATATTTTTAAGTATTAAAGATTTCTCAGTATCTAATCAACTCATAAAATGACAAAATTTAATTTTTTTTCTCCCCTTATTGTTTGCTCCATGGTAAATCAGGTATGACGAAACATGCCAACAAAAATATCAGTGACATAAAAATGTGGCGGCGTGGCCGAGTGGTTAATGTCTCAGACTAGTAATCTATGGATTGCTGATTGCCTGGGCAGGGGCAAGTCGTTGTTTCCTTGAGCAAGAAACTTTAGATTCATTGCTCAGTACTGGTTAGTTCCAGGAACAGATTCAAGAGTGTTTCAATAAGCTTATAGCTTCCAACACAATCAAACTAAAATAAATTTGTATAAACTTAACTAAAAATATCAGTCAATCTATGAAACACTAGCTTTAAAACTAGTGCAGTATATTAGTTTGAACATTTATCTGATACTGAATATCATCTCTAGACTATATTCTCTAAAGCTATACTTATAACAAATAAACCACTTAACACACCGCATTGCCTTAAATTGGTATGATGCAAGCAAATTTTGTTTAAGGCTAAATTACTCAGTTTCAATTACTTAGTTTCTTGTTACACATTTTATTAAGAGCAATAAGTTAAATTCCATTTTCCTTCATTTATTTCTTTTTTATTAATTACAAGACCTACTTAACTACTATCACTTTTACTTAAAATCATAGCTGGTTAAAATCTTCCTAATTAAAAATATTTCTCTAATTGACTTGGTTAACTTGTACTTTTAATTAATATACTAGATGACATTTCAATTAAACAGAAAATTTCTTCAATAAATAAGAAAACAATATATATATTATCTAAATTGATAATCTTTTGGCTATATTCACCAGTAACAGCCTATTACAACAATTTTATGCAAATGCACTTGCCCCAAAATCAAGATAATTATACAAAATGTAAAACAGTGTAAAATAATAGTGCACTAATGCACAACATACATTAGATTGAAATATGTAAATGTTACACTATTAAGATCTTCATGAAGATATCACTATAAGATTTAAGAAAGATACAAACATTCATTTTAAGTACCAACCAAGAATTCAGGAGAAACAGAATTTATGGCAGGATTTTAAATTTATCAGTACATTGTCTTAATGATACAGGTTGGCCTATGCCAACAAATGTATGTGACTGCTTCAACCAAGAGGTCATGAGTTTGAGACCTGGTGCCACCATGGCCATTGTAGTCATTAGACAGCATGTCCACTTTTTTTTAGTGCTGGATAGTATAATAAGAGCAAAGAAGAATAGTGTGCACAATTTTGCAAAAGGCAATTATTAAAAGAAGGGAAATAAACTTTAAGATTATCTGCCCTTCAAAATGCAGTGAACAAGTGCTCGACTATTTTCAAGAATTGATAGTAAAACAAGAGCCTGGATAATATAGGATTTTGTAAGCTTACAAGGGCCATAATTCTGTCAAAATCTATGTTAAAGTTATAGGCCTTGGACAGTGACCTCCAATTATGTTCTCAAATAAGTGTGTGAAGTTTCAACCCATTCCCTTCAGTAGTTTTGGAGATACATCTTGCACGCAAAAACTTAAAGTGTAATATTAAAGCTGGCACCTGGGTGAGTACAATAGCTCTGAGTACAATAGCTCTCCTATCTTCGAATAGCTCAGCTAAAAATTCCGATTGTCATTGAAAGTTTTCTGAGATGAGGCTTGTATAGGAAAGGATGTCTTATAAGTTTTGGGGGGAAATATGTTTTTTTCACTATTCATTCTCAGTTTTTACTTCAGCTATAATTGTTCTATGCAATACTGCACTAAATAGTTGAGATAAAAATAAATAAAATATAACTGACTACCTATTAACAAATGGTTGCTCAAGATTTTAATTTATTTGTTTAACAAGATAAGTATCTTATATTATAGTCATAAAACATCCAGATTTACAATAAAGTTAACAATACATTGCTTTATACTACAAAAAAAATGTAAACACACTTTTGAATTTTCAAATATAAATTGTATATCACTTGACCTGACAGAATTTTAAATCAAAAGAACTGTTAAAGCAGCACTCAATCAGATCTATGCCAAATTTTCATGAAATTTTGACAATGAATTTCAAAGTAAAATATTGTGATATTAACAAGGACAGTAATTTACACATTGCAAATGGCACTTATAATCTATGTAAATACCAAAGATAGCCCTCACGGCATAAGTCACACAATAGAAATACAGTGATAAATACTTCAAAATCAGTTATTATTCACACATAACATGTAAATTATCGCTTGAATCTTGAATCTTTTTACTTTTCTTGAAATATTTTGGCTCATCTGGAGGCATGCAGCTTTAATATATAGGAGCAGATTCAATGACCTGACATTTAGTGCTGAGTGATTTAAAGGCAATTGTTGCAAAATAAAGAGCTCTTTAGGAACACAGCTTTATATCAATAAATGTTCTGGTTCAAAAATGTTCACTAGTAAAAGGAGCAGGTGTAAGCAGACAGACAGCTTAGTCGGTAATGCAGGGGAATGGTATTCCAAGGGTCCCAGGTTCGAGGCTTGGTAAGGCTGCACATTTTTCTCACCCTGTGACATTTGGCGCTCAACGTGGGACTGTGACTGCATATAGCTCAGAGTTACATTCACATTGCTATATGTAACCCTGAGAAATAAGAGGACCAATTTCAATATAGAAGGGGAGTACAAGTGTGTAAGTTACAGTTCAGGACTGAGAAATATTTAAGGGAGGTGTGTAGGCAGCCATACAGCTCAGTTGGTAGTTGGTAACAGTATTCTGAGGGCCTCATGTTTAAGTCCTGTAAGACTTCACATTTTTCTCACCCTGTTCTTAAATTTAGAATGAAATTTTCTTTTTCATCTAAGTGACCCTGACCTTCTTGGTCTCCAAGGATACAACAATCTACTCTATCACTTATTACAATGTTTTAACCCTTAAAGTGACATTATGCCCATCCAAGGGTATATTGGTTTAAACATATTTATTTAAGCTCGATTGCGAAAGGGTATATAGTGAGTGAACAGGTGAATATCAAAATAAGTTACATTTTACCATAATTCCTTTTTATCTAATAACTTACTTCCCATAAACAATAAATAATGCACAGATCCAAATAAAATTTCTGTAAATATCTATTAAAGAATTTACCTCTTATGCTCAGTTTATAAAAAGAGTGGGGCAGTCTTTTTATATTTTAGGCAGATTTATAATTTTATCCTGAACAGTTTTAATATCAACTGTTTGTCAAACACCATTTTAACAGTCAATCTTTTGAAATATACAGTCAATGCAGCTCAACTTGACTATGAAAATATGAGCATAATTTGAGCCGTGTCATGACAAAACCAACATAGTGGGTTTGCGACCAGCATGGATCCATGCTGTTTGCTAACCAACCCTATAACAAGTAGAAACTGATAGCGAACAGCATGGATCCTGATCAGACTGCGCGGATATGCAGGCTGGTCTGGATCCATGCTGGTTACAAACCCATTATGTTGGTTTTGTCGTGACACGGCTCATTTCACTTTAACCTGCTGAATAGTGTAACTGATTTGGCCTAGCTTCAGTTTTGGAACAGTCCATTCAAACATTAAGGAATATTAATATCAAAATACAGAAGTTAAGCTACTTACAGTGGCAGAGACTCAGTTGATTCAGATTTAATTTCAAACTGATAATTTTGTTAAGATCTAGGGGAACTGCTTATGGAAAATATATATCCTTACCATTTTAGTATGTTAAGTTTGCAATTTGAGTAGAAACAGATCTGTTTTCTCAATACATAAGGTTAGTTAACAATTGGTGCTAGAGTATAATCAGTTAGCTAACTACTGTATAAGTTGATATTTCCAAGTGTTGAAAAGTTTAGCGAATTTAAAATTCCAAACATTTCGCGTGAAGAAATATAAGGGAATCATGCAAGGATAGAATTTAATGATAGACTGGTTGATATTTACGCCATAGATAATTTTAGTGATTGTTGTAAATTCAGAAAATTCGCTAATAATACCGCATCTGTAACTTAACCATTTATACAGTAGATAGCCCCCTCACATGAAACAATTCAATGTCCTGGGTAGGATTCAAACCTATCTAACCACATAGACCTTATATATTTGCATTTCAACAAGAAAATGTACGTACTTTTTCTCCTTGAGGACAGTATCCCTTGACAAAATCTTGGCATATTTCAGCATCTCTGTTTACATTGACATGTAAATAAGGACAGTCATCTCTATTACAAACACCCTTCAGATAGTAAGAACATACTGGCATCTTATCCTTTGATACAATGTGAGAAAATGGACAGTCTTTCACCTTACACGTGCCTCGAAGAAACCTGAAAATTACAACATATAAATGATGATAAAACAAATTTTTTATTACAAATGTATGTAATTGCTTTTAATGAAAATTATGAAAATGCATTACAGCAAAATTTTATATACTGGTTGGAGAGATAACTCCGACACTAAATCACATACTTTTTGTAATATCTTAATTATCTTCCTATATATTTTAAATATTGAACCACCTAAATAAAGTTCAGTTCAAAGACTTCACATTACTCCACAAAAATTATGTATGAAAATGAGAATTGGTACTTATTTAAGGTCCTGAATGGGGTATACAAAACATGGTCTTTTTACCCCTCAACAGTAGATAAAGTCGACACTTAAATTTTTAAGTAAAAAATGACAGGAAAATCAGCATCATTAATTTATTTTTACATCTTATTTGTTTTATCTATTTTTATTGATGTAAAAACAAGTTTTCAAAAAATTTTCTCAAGTAAGTGGCCTGTGGTCAATACATTTCTAACTACCTCATTGTAATTTGGTAAAAAGAACGTTTTGAAGCAGTTTTTGCCAACGAAAAGTTTTGGTTAATTGAAAAATATTAAAAAGTTTACCAACTTAAAAAAACCCATCACATCTGTCCTGTTCCTATACTGCTAGGTGACCATATGCTTTTTTGTTGAAAAGCAAAGTTATAAAAATTATATTTATCAAGTGTCGGGGTTATCTATGCGTCGGAGTTATCTCTCCGACCAGTATTGGTCTAAAAGGATAATGAAATATATCGTCAGAATGATCGGTCATGACGTTACCACTTTCTATCTGATCATGTGATACCTAGCTTTTCATTCTCTTAAGATTTCCAAAGTCTTTAAGTAAAATCTTTTAACTTTCCTCTGATGATCTCTCAGAATGTCACACTGAGAAATGTCATATATTTTATTAGATGATTTAAAAATGCCCTAAAGGAAAAGTCATGGCAACAGTGTGCCTGTACCACTTAACATACTGTCCGATATATTAATTACTATCGACATGTACGTCATTCCAACAAAATTGATAGATGATTGAGCAACAGTAATTTGGTAACCGACATTTTACACTTAAGTCTATATTATTATTTAATTAAAATGACGTCAAATACATTCACTGCAATAAGATAAATTATTCGGTCATGGATGTTTGGCAAAATGTCATCACCATAATTACTATGGGTCACCACAATTACTAACAGACAGTGTTATAGAGTATAATTACTAAGGGTCACTCTAATTACTAAAGGACAACGTTAAAGAATATAATTACTAAGGGTCACCATAATTACTTTGGGACAACATTATAGAATATCATTTTGAAAACTCAACATTATTTCTCCATTCCTCCTTATAAGTTATGTTTTTGCTGAAACACCATTTATGATTTTGGCCGACGCTGACAATATCTTTTAATTTTATATTTTTGCAAATTTGCATATTCATATCAATCTATTGAATATTTAACAGTACTCCCTCCAACATTGAAACAAAACTCTGAAAAAAGTGTTTCTTTACTTTTTGGACACCCTGTATTTAAAACATGTATAAAACATAGAAACTGTCACTTTGATTGTGAATGCCGACATGTTTCTTTAAAGTATATAAAGCTATATATTTGCTGTCTGTAGATTGAAAAATTATTGTTTATATTGTGATTAAAATGACTACAGAAATCCTAGAATAAAAGAAATTTGCCTGTATATATTACTAAAAGCGAACGAGGAATGCATGAATTAACCATAAAACTTCCTAAAAATAGCTGCGGAATAAAATGTTCCATAACATTTTATTTTGTTTAAAATAAAATATTCATGTTTATTAAATTACATAGATATTTAATCTTAATGTAATAAATCTTTCAAGAAGAGACAATTATGATATGGAAGCAACCTACTTTTTTTTGTTTTCAATATTGTATAAAATATTTATTAGACACTTAAAACTCTTAACATTATAGTTACGTTTTAAATTTTTGCTTTTGTTTTTCTCTCAAATTTTTTTTACTTAACTGGATGCAAGCAGCTTTAAAAATAATCCAATATGAGTAAAAGGGAACATTTGATTGAACAAAAAAATCATTATTATAAAAGGAGTGATTCATTGATAAGAAGGGATTGGTTTCCACAATATACGGCTGACATATATTCTGCATTAACCTTGGGATGAAGTAGGTGTCTACTGTTATCTGTGTGTACAAGGATCTATTTCCAACTTTAAACTTAATGCCCTACAAATAAACCAGTCACATTAGATATGTTTTGGCAATTTATTAAATATTTAATTCAATTTCAACATTGAAGTAGTTCACGCACGTCATTAAAGCTACTTGTGTACAGTTGTGTAATGATTTTTTTATACCAAGTTGAATGTAGATTCAATATTTCTGGTTTGTCAAAGAGATCATACAGGATATGAAATATAAGATGTGAATTATTTATATCAACTCTTTGAATGCAACTGGTGTTTGGCTGATAACAAATACTTGTCTATGTCAAGAGTGCATAGGCACCAGTAAAGTGTTACCACAGTCCCCCAACCATGCCAAGGAAATAGCCCTGAAGGTAAAGTCTGCATCGAATGTCTCCACACTGTGAGTTTAAAACTTTTCTCCAACTATTTTGGTGCCAAAATAAAAGCACCACATTGACCTGACAGTGAAAACATTAAGTACAAAGAAGAATTATTTCCCCCTATCCCCCCCAAACCAACCATGAGAAAGGTTGAGGTGGATAAATCACTGTTACATAAAGACAGCTTGTACATTCATGCAGTCTGACAAGACTTTATACAGTTATCTGCTCAGTTGTTACCTTTTTTTTATACCCCCGCATAACATGTCCGTCCGGCCATCTGTACATCCATTGGTTTTTACTTGTCCGCCCAATAACTTAAGATTCCTTTGACCCACAGTCTTCATATTTGGCATGGAGGTTAGTCATGATTAGTAGATGACCCCTATTGATTTTGAGGTCACTTGGTCAAAGGTCAAGATCATAGGGGCCTTGACAAAAAAAAGATTGTCCACCCAATTACTTAAGATTCCTTTGACCCACAGTCATCATATTTGGCATGGTGGTGGGTCAAAGGTCAAGGTCACAGGGGCCTTGACTAAAAAAGCTATTCTGCTCAATTGCTTAAGAATGCTTTGGTCAACAGTCTTCATATTTGGTATTGAGGTTGTTTATGACTAGTTGATGACCCCTATTGATTTTAGGCTACTGTGTCAAAGGTCAAGTCACAGGGATTTTTACTATAATAAGCTTGTCTGCTCAAATGCTTATAAGAATGCCTGTCTGCAGTGTATTGATTTTGAAATATTCACATTTGAAGCATGTAGAATACATAACTTGCCATGCACTTGCTTAGTAACACAGATTTGGCAGGGAGGTTGCCCTTGAGCTCTAAATGGCCACTGTTGATTCTGACAAAGTGGTATGTCGTGGTATTCACGCCATGACAGTGGCAGTTCTAGTTTTAATTGAAAATCCTCAAAATAACAAAATTCAACACAGGGCAAGTCCCACAAATACAGCAGTGAACGGGTGCAATTACTAAGAACTACAACTATCATTAAAGGTGATTTGTATGCCTACCTGCCACCTTAACTATTTGAAAAATAAGTTGTCTGAAGCCAAATTTGCACCAGACCTACATTTTGCACCTGACCTACATTTTAAGATGTTTCATCTGTGTACCAATTAACTGTCACGCTAAAAGAGTATTATCATCTGCAAACCATTTTTTTGGGTAAAAATTTTGTCAAACTACATAACAGAGTTATCAAACTTAAAACACACAGTAGTGATATTGCATTGACATTTCAAATTTAAGTTAAGATATCTACCGGTTCCTGACATGGAATGGTACATATAATAATAAAATAAAGCCAGTGTCAGCAAAAAAAATTAATAAATCAATAACGTGACCTTGAAAGTCATTTATGACTGAAGATCGATACACATGTAAGTCTCATCAACATGAAAGTATATCCAATAGGTTGGTTTTATTATTCTCAAAAACTATGGTTACCCTAGATCACTCACCTAACATTTTTTACTGGAAAAGGTCAAAATACTTCAATGCAGAATCAAGTATATAAGTATTTAGATTAAATTGTGTTGTTTTTTTTCAATTTTGACTATGGCTGCATGATCTACTAGAAAATGATACATGCTACATGAAATGTTATAACTCTATGTTACCTAAGAGACCCCTAGGGTGGGGCATGCTCGACTTCAGGGGCATGATTTATGTTCCTTTTGCAGAGGTCCTTCGGACAAGCCTCTAGGCTCTGGGCAATGTAGCTTCTCACTAATAGATTATATGTTTTCCTATATATATCATGTTTTGTGAACATGTTGAACATTGCACTATGAAATGGAATGCACTACGAAATGGAATGCACTACGAAATTGAAAGCACTATGAAATTGATTGCACTATGAAATTTAATGCACTATGAAATCTAATGCACTATGAAATGGAATGCACTATGAAATCAAATGCACTATGAAATCTAATGCACTATGAAATGGAATGCACTACGAAATGGAAAGCACTATGAAATCGAATGCACTATTAAATGGAATGCACTATGAAATGGAAAGCACTATGAAATCAAATGCAATATGAAATCAAATGCACTATGAAATCAAATGCACTATGAAATCAAACACAATGAAATCCAATGCTCAAATGCACTATGAAATAAATTGCACTATGAAATCAAATGCACTATGAAATGGAATACACTATGAAATCAAATGCACTATAAAATGGAATGCACTATGAAATGGAAAGCACTATGAAATGGAAAGCACTATGAAATCAAATGCACTATGAAATCAAATGCACTATGAAATCGAATGCACTATGAAATCAAATGCACTATGAAATCAAATGCACTATGAAATCAAATGCACTATGAAATCAAATGTTCAAATGCACTATGAAATCAATTGCACTATGAAATCTAAAGCAACATAAAATCGAATACAATATGAAATCTAATGCAATATGAAATGGAAAGAGCATTGACACATATAGTTATCTGATTTGTACAAGGGGAGTTAATCCAGCGAAGAAAACAGTCAAGTTTTTTTTTTAAGTTCTTTCTGTTTTTGTCATAGCTAAATATGTAATTCTTTCCATGTTGTCAAAATATGTAAGCAACGCAAAAAAATGTAGCTGATCTAAATAAAGTCTAATTCAATTTTCAACTCTGGGCTACAGACAGTGCAAAGTAGCAGTAATTAGTGCAGGTATCTTTTACCTGCATTCTTCAGTTAACACACTGTACTGCAATGGTCATATTAATAATTATTTATCCTAAACTCATATCCAATAAAAAGGTCTCTTAGTTATGATACAAACTACTCCTTCGCTGTGACTTGGACTAGCTTATTCATGGTCAATTTTTACTCATGATTTCAAAGTATACATCCAGTGTTGATCGCCAAACTTTTTAAGTCCCTCATTTCATATAAGTTACTGTAGTTTTGCGGTCAACCCACGACATGTATTTTGCTTCATATCTGATTCTATTTAAGAAAATCACAAAACTTCATTGCATGCATGTAGAACTCAGTGGCACTAAATTTAATCAGTTACTTCAGGTACTGTTGACAATCCTCTTTCAGGTAGAACTTTGTGAACTTATCACAGATAATACCATCCTTCAGCCAAAATATTTAAATTCTGCTTTGTGAAATAGGTCATGTCAACTGGTACAACTGCTTTACATACCTTATAAACCTGAACAAATTTTAGCAATCTGCCTTTGCTCATGTGTATATCATATGAATAAAGCTGATCTACTCTTTCCCTTATCCACATTAAAAGAGCCATTCCTTCTATGTCTCCTGTATTAACCATGGTTACATTTCTTATCATGTACAGATAGCAATTTTCTTTCGAAATGTCTATAAACTACAGTTGCACAGTACAGATGTTTATTTTCTGTTGTAAATATTTGAAGTGAATAAATAGAGACTAGAGTCTGCCTGCAAACAAGCTGCTTAAGTTCTGACTGAAGCCGAGGGAAGTAGCCCTACAAAGTAAGCAGGGATAACAAGGAAAGATGCTAGGGTGTGTGAGCCCAAAGTGACATCTTAAAAAGCAGGCCTTTTGCTTGGAACCAACAGAACTTTTTTAGGGCAACCTTGCCTTTTCATATTGTTCTGTGTTACTGTACATTTAGGTTCTGATTGACCGCCATACAGTGACCAACTTTTGCCTCAAAATTCATATCTTTGGCTTATACTCTGTGGATATTGCATGAAGGTAAATTATCACCACTTGTGCTTCAAATTAACACCCTAAGGGTATGACTGCTGTCCAGAGTCCGTACTTAGCAGCAAAAGCTGCATTCTGTGCCTTATCAAGCAGACGGACCCATATAAAGCTGCATTTTTTACCTTGTGCAGATACTACTATATGGTTCAATTTTATAAATACTGCTGTCTTTGGTAAAGTGTTTGAAGTATATATGCTTTAACTAATATGGTATCTTAATAAATTCAGTAGCATGTATTATCTATTTTTGCATAAAAACTGCACATGCAGGTATAAATCAACAGAGATGAAAACATACAATAACAGATAAATTGATTTCATATGCCACTTTCTCTGGTTATACATGTATCTATAATATTGAGGCATTTCTTACCTTGTACAGACAGCCACTTTCTCTGGGTCATGTATGTAGGTACAGCTTCCCTTCTTGTTACATTTTCCAAATCTATTATAAAACATGCAGTATTTCTTTTTCTTAAGGACTTTTGTATTATCTTTCTTGTATTTTGCAGCTGCCCTGTGAACTGTCTTATTCACCACGCGTCTGAAAATGAATACAAAACAAAATAAATGATAAAATGCTATCAATACTACCAACAAAGGAGGAATTTTTTTTGTGGACCTCTGCACCTTATCTCTAAAGAGTTAAAATGCATAGCAACATATACAGGAAATTTTAAAGACTTTTCAGACTGCCCACACAATCATATGCAAAGGCGCTTCTTAACTAACAATATGCACATGCATTAAAATTTTACATTATTAATCATAATTTTGTTGAGTAAGGGCAAAACTGTAACATTGAAGATCCATTATAACAGTCGCATGAACACATCTGTGGATACTCAAGAATGCTTCATAAAAACATAATTTATATTCAAATGTTTATTCTGCTTCAGCTTGGTCTAGAGTGTTGGTGGGTTGCTTAAATCTAATTCCGCTAACAATAAACAAGCCCAATTAAAGATTACTAACAATAAATTCAATTTTATCTAGTTGTGCTACAATTTAATAAGCAGTGGCAGTTTAAAAACTTTTGAGAATATCTATCAATACATGTTTACCATATCATACTAAAATTTGACTGTATATATATATAAAACATGTAACAAGATCTACATCTTTTATCCAAATTCATACTTGCATGGTTAAACTTTTTTTTATATCAACAATAAGTTATATGTTTGACACATCACATGATTTCCATATATAAAACATGTAAAACATGTGTTTCATGTTTTGAAAAACATGTGTTTAAGAACATGTGTCTTTCATAATTATGTAAAAATGTAAAATAGCATATGTTTAACCAGGAGCATATGAAAAACATATGTAAACTCATGGTTATCACGTTTTTCATATTAATAAGTTCTTGTATGTTAAATATATGTGAAGTTTCATGTGCTTTTCATATATGAGCCGCGTCATGACAAAACCAACGAAATGCGTTTGCGACCAGCATGGGTCCAGACCAGCCTGCGCATCTGCGCAGTCTGATCAGGATCCATGCTGTTCACTATCAGTTTCTTTACTTGTTGTAGGCAGAGCTGCATTACTGGTACTGGTACTGGTACTGCAGTACGTACTGCAGGGATTTTGCAAGTACTGGTACTGATACTGAATTACTCTTACAAAATTTTGCTACTACTGGTACTGGTACTGCATTACTGTCTTAAAAAGTGGTACTGCTACTGCATTACCCAGTACTTTTGGTTTTGATAAAGATTAAAAATAGCATCAATTTTTCTCATAAAATAAAGCTGTAAATTACTATATTTTATTTTTGTGAAAAAGTAAGTTATCAAATCTAAAGATAATTTGCTGCAATCTTCCTTCAAATGTTAACATAGTATTCATCATAAAAAGCACCAAAGACTTTAAGTAAAAATTAAACCAAGATAAACAGACTCAATAACTCTTTACCCTAAAATATCCTTATTAAAATCTTTTATTACTTTGTATTTGCTAGTAAATGAGCAAAATAAACACTAATGAACTTCTTCTATTCTAAATAATCCCATTTCAAGTGAAAAAAGTGATATTGTTAGCACCATAAAAAGTTGTTATTTACTTTGGTATAAATTGAACAGAGGTGTGAAGTTGTGAAAGGCAACAAAAGACTGTTGTGTTTTAAATGAAAGATGTTTGCTTTGTATTTATACAGTTGACTGGTTACTAAACAATAAGATAAGATATGAATATATGTTGTAAATATTATTTATAAAAAGTATGTTAAAACTATAAAGTTGTAAATATGTTATGTTAACTTTAAAGTAAATTATGATTTTATTTCTTTGCTGAATAATATTTGCAATTATTTGTTTGACACTGTATTTATTCAAACTTTGATGAATATATAAAAGTAATGGTACTGATACTTAATTACTTCACCAAAAAAAGTACTGGTACTGCAGTACCGAGCTAAAATCTAGTACTGGTACTGGTAATGGTACTGCATATTTTGCCAAGTACTGGTACTGGTACTTAAGTACTACACCCTTAGTACTGATGCAGCTCTGGTTGTAGGGTCTGTAAGCGAACAGCATGGATCCTGATCAGACTGCGCGTCTGGATCCATGCTGGTCCAAACCCATTATGTTGGTTTTGTCATGGTGTGGCTCATATGTTAACTCATGGTTATCACGTTTTTCATATGAATAAGTTCTTGTATGTTAAGTATATGTTAACTTTCATGTCTTTTTCATATATTAAATTTATGGATGATATATTCTGCAAGCTTTGCACTTTGAACAGTCTCAATTAGATTCTGAAAAACTCTTAAATGATTTTTGGTTCATTCATCTTTATATGCCAAATACCAGGGGAAACCATTCTTTTGAGAATATCGTAAATGAAACTTTCCGGACTGATGATTATTAAGCAGTGAATATTGTTTAAAAAAAAGGCCATAGCTTTAATAAGACAACTTCAGTGTTGTTAGATTACTCAAGGCATTACATGTGAAAAGATTAAAAGATCATATGTGTATTAAGATACATACGTGGCAGCCATTCTGGACTTCACAGATCCGACCCTTTCTAAAGTTCCTGGTTTTGTTTGAACGTATGTCACACCTCCGATGTCTACACGAGAAATTTGCCCGGCCTTTGTTGTCGTTGATGAAGAAACATCAGGTTTATCTAACAAGTATATCAGTAAACTTTACGATTTTATGAAAAAAGTAATAACTTTCATTTGTGACAATATGGTAAATTATTTAACAGCATATGCTGTTTCATTATTACAAAATACATGACTTTGTTGTGCAGGGTTTTCATTTTTATCTGAGGCAACAGATGTGCCAACCATTACAACTGATTCGGCCAACGGTTAAGGGGTATATTTTAATATACAGACTGAAAATACAAGTGATTTCAACAGCATTTTAACTGATGATATGGATCGCCAACTGCTAATAATGAAAATCCTGATATATATTTTGGGGTACATAATTGAAAACCTTCAAATAAATTTCTAGAGGGCATGAAAAGATTAAGCTATATGAAAGCAGTTTGTACAAAAAAAAAAAATTCAGTTAACCTTTTCACAAAGAGAGGCTATGTGTATTTGTTTATTCTAAAGTTTAACCACTGTGCAAATTTAATTCTATTTCACAAATAAAGTATTTGAATTAGGACTTTTACTTGGTTGAGTGATTTGTTTACTTTTGGGCTTACAGAAAGAAGTTATGTCCATTGTTTCTTATCAAAGTACTCAGAATTCTGAGCATCTTTCTGGAAAAAACAGGGTTCGGGAATGACCTGAAAATTTGCACAAAGTAATTTTATAAGATTTCAATCAATTAGTACACAAATCTCAGAAATATTATTCCAGTCCCATCATGCCAATTAACAGCAGTAGCGTCCCTTTAAGCCCCATGACACTTCTAAGGTCATATGGCAACAATACATGTAAGGGCTCACATGCAGGCACCAAAGTTGAATCGCTGACCTTTCAAAAGCTAGCTTGATACCTTCCTTACATGAAAGAATCTGAAGTTTGTGACAAAATTTGAACCTGCAGCTCTCAGTGGCAGGCGATTCTAAATCAGCGACTTACACCACCATTTAGAAAGTGATTAGGGTAACTCTTGCCATACTTTCCAGGTAGGATTTTTTCTAGAACCCAACTTTTCACTGCATTTTATGTTGTCATTTGTATGCTATTTTGAGTGTAAGTGTGCTTTCATGAATCAACAGAAATATTTACAAACCTTCCACCAATCCCTGCTGATGAACCCTTTTAAGGCTTCTCCCTTTACTGTCAACTTTAAATTTTACACCCCGTACTGTGACCGTCTTCATGTTTGTGGTATCTAGCTCTGAAATAAATATCACATTCTTAAAATTCTTTATGATGCTAATTTCAGTTTTATTACGAAGATAGACTACACTTCATTATGAAATGCAGATATCTTTAAATCTGTTCTTATTTTTTATATTTTGATGAACAGATTTGAGCCGCGCCATGACAAAATCAACATAGTGTGTTTGCGACCAGCATGGATCCAGACCAGCCTGTCCTTCCACACAGTCTGATCATATTTCATGCTATTCGCTTACAAACCCTATAACAAGTAGAGAAACTGATTGCGAACAGCATGGATCCTGATCAGACTGCGCAGATGTGCAGGCTGGTCTGGATCCATGCTGGTTGCAAACCCATTATGTTGGTTTTGTCATGGCACGGCTCATTTTCAGCTATAAAGACCTATGGCATCAGTATATAATATCAACAAGCCAGCCTGAATGTTTGAGTTGTAAATACAGAATCAGACATAAGTAAACCATGGTCTGCATTGATCCAAGAGTAGATGGCTGCCAGCAGGCTAAAAGTTAATAAACATGTAGTATAAAGTAACTTCATCATGATCAATGTTATGCAAATATTATACTAATAAAATATCATATGTTTAAGGCATATTGTGTCTAAGAAATGAATTAATTTCGACTTCTTTAGGAAAGGCCAACATGAGTTTTGTACCATGTAAATAATGGTTTAGCAAGCATGTTAGGTGCTTATCACCTGAAGAATGTAGTGATGAATGTAACATTATGCGTCATAAACTAGCAAAATGTTATTATATATCAGTACTTAGCCTTCCATACTTAATATTGAATCACTATAACTGTAGCAATTACCAAAAATCAACAGAATCAAAATAATTATGTTTCAGGTACTTGGCCAATGAGTAACTTTTTGGGAAACTTTAACAGGACACCTAAAATAAAAAAAGCTTTTGAGATGCAAAACTAAAGCATTAATAAAGGGCCTTTAAATTAAATATATATATTATATACTCTTTATTTTTGGCTCTTCCACTCCTGTTGTAGGTTTGCTCAGATGTGTTTTCTGTGAAACAGCTTTCACCAAAGATTTAGTATTTGACTTGTACAACATTCCATTTATCATAATGAAATTAACTGGTGTCTTTACTTCCTGAACTGTAGTTCTCCTATCCAGTCTGTGTCTAAAATGTTTAAAACAATATGGTGTTAACTTTGATCATTACCCTGTAGTGTAGTAAAGATTGTTAATTTTATGACCTCTATTGCCTTTTCAAAAAATGTCCCATCTTTAGAACAGGTAACTGCTGAAGGGACCTGTTCTTGATATAAAAATCTTATTTTTCCCAAAATGTGAAACATCATTGAAAATTTGCATGTAATATCTGCCAAGGATTCTTTCCAATCACTAATAATACTTTCAAACCAAAAACTGTTACAAATTAAGTGAAAAAATCCACTGGTTTAGTTTGAATAATTATTTTAACTTTATTATATGGTGCTATTTCAACAAACTTTCCCTCATTTCTCTTTAAGTTATTGATGAGTCAAGAATTTTATACAAGGTGTCACTGTGGCACACCCTTGACCAAAATATGACCTAAACAACAATAAGGGTCATCATCTTAGCTTCAGATATGTCCCTACTAAGATTAACAAAATTAATGCTGATTCCTTCTCAAGCCATTTTATGAATATATTGCTATACAAAATATTCTATACTTCCTGATAATTTTACTAACTTTGGATTAAAAGGAACACTGTCTTGTAGTCTCTGTAGCCTCCTTCTAAGATATCTGTCACTAACAGCTTGTCTTCTAGAGTATGTGTAATGATGAAAATGTTTGCCATACCTGCCATGTTCATTTCTATAATGTGGATGACCTTGACCTTTAAATCTACTGATATATCCTCCTGTAATAAAACAACCAGTATGATAATCTCCGACATTTTTAACATATGTTCTAAAACTTAAGCTTTTACAATATGTCAGATTTCAAGTGTGTTGCCCATAATAAGAGCTAACGCCGGGCGGAGGCAATGCTCAACTTTTTTACTTTTTCTAAAAGTAACAAAGAAATGGTTTAAGCAAATCTTAAAGAAAAGAAAAAAGTTAAGTTTTTCTTTTTTAATTTTAACAGCAACAGAATGCCAACATGACTGTTACAATACCTCTATTTTTTCCCCAAAAAACAAAACATAACTGAGCTAAAAACCTAAATAATGAAGAGAACAAATGAAATTGTTTACAAACCTACATAATGAAGACATAATGAGTGTTTACTAAACCATAATTCAAATAATGAGTGTCTACAAAACACTTAAATAAAAAGCTGCAAAAATGTTAGTACTTTTCAACAAATGGTAACACATTCTAATTATTCAAAGTCTTAAATTAACTTAACTTTGTAAGTTGTATAAGTATAAAACCTATTACCAGATATTTAATTAAAACAACCTGATAAACAATAAATTTTTATGATGTATTAATGCTGATCATTTATCAAAGGGGAGTAACTGCAGAATCATTACACTATAATGAAGAATACAAACAAAATTGCATACAAAGCTTAAATAATGAAGAATACAAATGAAATTGCATACAAACCTAAGTTGTAATAGCTGCTGTAGCCAAATCCTGTTCTCCTGTACTGTTTGTCTTGATATTTCTGTATGAATGGTCTGTACTTTCTTTGCCTGTATGAACCTCTCTGATCAAACTTGTAAGATGAATTACTGCCAGGTAATAAATAGCAACTTTTTATATTTGAACATGGTTGGACCTTTTCCATTTTGAACTTTGACCGCAACACTCGAACTGAAGGTTGTGATGAATATGGATCATTGTTTTTTAATTTATCAGTTGCCTTGGTGATGCTAGTACCCTTTTGAACAAGTTGCCTATGTTCATCTGACAAAGAACGTCTCACCCTTTTAATGGCATATTTAGAAAGACTTAGAAACTTAGCAGGTGGACTTAACTTATTTCTCACATTCTTTTGCACCAATCCCTTTTTTTGTGAACTTTTGACCCTTGTGATTGAATACTTTGACTTTTTGATGAACTTTGCAGGTGTGCCTGAGTAGTACTTTGATTTTTTAACAGATATACATGAAGGATAGTGTGTTTGATTTTGTGATAATGAATTTTCAGATTTCATATCTAAGTTGAACATTCCTATAACATTTATGGCTGTATTCTCAGATACTTTAGAGGGTGCCGTTGATTTTGATGGCGACTGCTTTGTCGGAGATGTTGCTAGTCGAGTCAGTTTATACTTTGATAATGATATCAGATCACTTGGCGGAGGCTCGAGTTTTGAGGTCACATCTTTGAACATAGATTTAACATTTGACATACCAGCATTTGTTTGAGCCCCTATAATGTTTGCAGTTTCTTGCCCTTTATTCTTATGTCTGTCTGATGAGAATTTAATGTCTTTGTTTTGAACAAGACTATCAGTTTTAGTGGCTGACATTGATGAATATGATGATATAGAAGATTCTTGCTTTAAAGACTGGCTTGTAATAGATCTTTCAGATTTTTGACAACTTTGACTATCATTCCCTTTCGAAGGATTTTCTAGGATTGGTTTACTCTGGCACTTCTTCTCTTCTACTTTACATTTATCTATCACACTACTGGACCTACACGATTGCTTCTGTTCTAAAGATTTCTTCAAGTCTGCAATTTTACTTTGCATTTTCTCGATCTCTTTCTGAAGCAAATTTGAATTTGATTTCACCTGTGTTTGTTTTAAGTTTCCCGAATTAGAGGATGGCTTCATTGCTGTATTTTTGTCAGTTAATACTTGCATCTCCTTCTTTTTTAGTTCAGCTGAATTAGTATTGATAATGCTATTCTCACTGGGGTCTGATTTTGCAGTATTTGTCACAAGTTTAGCACTTTTCAGTTTCACTGAATCAGGATCAAAACGTGATGTTACATAAAGTCCGTCTTTGCATTTCAGAGACTGTGTAGGAAGACGAGTTTGTTGATATTCATTTAACCTACGTTTCGTCTCTTGAATTTGATCAGGTTGCATGTTTGCACCTTTTACACTGTATTGCAGTTCTGATTGTCTTGCATTGGCATTAGCAGGTGCCTGGCCCATGAAATGTGAATGTTCCTGACTGAATGTTTTAACAAAAGGTCGTGTATTCCGTTCAGCAAATCTAATATGAGAAGATGCCTTCTGCAATGAAGGTCTACATGAACTTGATGAGTACCCAGTCCTAGTATTATTAGCAGGAAAATTGTGATAGGGTAGGGGATGAGTACCATCATGTCTTCTGGACTTGGCATTTGCAATGGCATCTGGAATAGATAATTAAACTATTTTAATACAATAATAATATACATATGTAAGCTTTACAATTTCAAAACTTGCTTTCAATAAATTATTTGTGTTAAGAAAAGGGTGACACTGAAAATTTTAATATAAGATAAATTACCGACAACCTTTGTCCCCATTATTAAAACTTAAATATTTTTAAGTTACTCTTCACAAGAACAAAAGCTTCAACAACATCATAAACAAAAATACACAAAATCATGGTGTTTAAAATGCTTTGTAAGTGAAACATAAATTTAGCATTGATAAAGGTATACAAATGTAGCTAAAATGTACTATTGCATCAGTTAAAATGTCCTATTGTATCAGCTAAAATGTTTTATTGTATCAGCTAAAATGTCCTATTGTATCAGCTAAAATGCCCTATTGTATCAGCTAAAATGTCCTATTCTATCAGCTTGTTGTCCTATTGTATAAGCTAACTTGCCCTACTGTATCAGCTAAAATGTCATATATAATGTATTCCCTGAAATGTCATAATGACTATCAGGTAAAATGTCCTATTGTGTCACATTATTCTGACCAAGAAAGGTCTGGAACATAGGAATTAAAGCTTTTATACAGTCTTTATAAGGACATATTTAATTTAATCATTAATGTCTTTTAAAGGCCTCCAGTGAATTTAATTACCTTTACAGATTACAGAAGTACAAACCTTGTGAATTGGGATTGAAAGCAATACTTTTTGATATAATTTGTTCAAAGGTAATTCTTTAAGACAATGTAATTCATTAACATAGACTCTGACTGAAGGCATTAGTTACAGGTAACCCACATTTCATCACAGAAAGAACACTGTCATGTAAATTTCCGGACAAAAAGTAAGAATATACTACAGATGGAGCCACTTACATTGTATGTTATGGAGGCACTGTAAAGTTTTGGTGAGACCTGTTGTTTGTTCAGCTGATAAGTGTTTTAATGTACATGTATTTCATTATCATTATATTAACAGCTCTTTATTTCTGACCTTAAAGGATGAGCTTTTAATATCATTACTGAGGTAACAGTAAACATGTTTTGTTCATGTAATATTTCACAAAATATCATGTAAGATTTGTTCACAGAAGCCACATTTTCTCCAACACCTGTACATTTTTTACAATACAAGATCAACAGGTGGAGGCCGTAATAAAATAACATGAACGATTCAAACTGTTGTAAACTAGACGTTCAATGAGAAAAAACAATGCTAACAAGAGCTGTTGCGACTTTACTCAGTGCTTGATAGTAAAACAATAGCCTGATAATGTAACATTTGAAAAAGTTCAAAATGGACCTTAATAATGCTGTCAAAATCAATGTCAAAGTATTGGCCCTTGGAAAGTGACCTCATACCTTAAAATTCCTAATAAACACCCCTCCCCTAATAAAGGCCCCCCCAGGCCTTTTGATAGGGAAAACAATCTACTCATCAGTTTTGAACTCATATTTAAAGCCATAATTAAATTCAAATCATTCAGAATCCATAGTATTTTATAGTTAAAACAAAAATATGTAAAATATGAACTTTAAAACCTTTACCAACACTTGCTTACACTAAATGTATTTACAGTGATTTTTTTGTCGCCTCTACGGAGTAGTGGCGACATATAGGGATCACTTCTCCGTCGTCTGTCTGTCCGTCCGTCAAAAAAACATGTCCGGACTACTCCTCATAAACTACTGGTGCAATTTCATCCAAACTTTACAGGAATGATCAGTATTAAGTCTAGTTGTGCATATTGTCAGCATTTTCTGGTTCAATGATTTTTGCCAAAGTTATGGCCCTTTAATAATTTTTATTTTTAAAGTTTGTCCGGACTACTTCTCTTATACCACTAATGCAATTTCAATGAAACTTTACAGGATTGATCTGTAGCTCAAGTCCTTGCGCATATTGCACGGGTTTTCCGGTTGAATGATTTTTGGCTGAGTTATGGCCCTTTGATAAAAAGGTGTTTTTTTCTGTGTGTTGCCAGATACACAAAAGCTTGTCCGGACTACTCCTCATAAACTACTGGTGCAATTTCATCCAAACTTTACAGGAATGATCAGTACCAAGTCTAGTTGTGCATATTGTCAGCATTTTTCGTTTCAATGATTTTTGTCAGAGTTATGGCCCTTTTATAATTTTTATTTTTAAAATTTGTACGGACTACTTCTCTTATACCACTAATGCAATTTCAATGAAACTTTACAGAATTGATCTGAGGCTCAAGTTCTTGCGCATATTGCACTGGTTTTCCAGTTGAATGATTTTTGGCCGAGTTATGGCCTTTTGATAGAAAGGTATTTTTTTTTGTGTGTTGCCAGATACACAAAAGCTTGTCCGGACTACTCATAAACTACTGGTGCAATTTTATCCAAACTTTACAGGAATGAACAGTACCAAGTCTAGTTGTGCACTGTCCGTCTGTCACAAATCTTGTCGCAACATGAAATTGGCCATCATGAGGCGACACATGTGATCACTGAACGCTCTTGTTTTATTTAGGAAAAACTGTGTTGTAATAATAGCCCCCCTTTTGGAAAATGTTTAGCCCCCGGGGGCGTTTATTAGGAATTTTACGGTATTAGACTCTCAAATAAGTGTGTGAAGTTTTCACAATACAATAGCTTTCATTATTCTTCAAAAGTCCTGCCATAAACACAATAAGCAAAATTTAATTTAAAAAAAAAACATCATTTTAAAAACATGCCATACAAGAAATCATGGTTCAAAAATAAATTTGCTAAATATATCCTTTTCTTACATATCGGTTACATGTATTTCTCTAAGTAATAAATAAATAACAAACTAGGTAATCTAAAAAGAAAAATCTCATGGAAAATCTACTTCACAATTGGAACACTTTCCTGATTACCTACCATCAATCCTAAATATGTAGTTTTACGTAAGTACTTTTCACAAAATAGGACTTATATATGAACATGTTCACTATCATTTGATAAGAATGATCGTAAAATTCATAAAATATATGAACATGTTCACTATCTTTTGATAAAAATGATCTTAAAATTCATAAAATATATGAACATGTTCACTATCATTTGATAAGAATGATCGTAAAATTCATAAAATATATGAACATGTTCACTATCATTTGATAAGAATCATCGTAAAATTCATAAAATATATGAACATGTTCACTATCATTTGATAAGAATCATCGTAAACTTCATAAAATTTTAATTAGCAATTCTCTGTTACCCTGAGAAATTCAAGGACAAATTCCAATATAGCAGGGGAGTATGTCACAGTTCAGAACTGATCACTTTTTAGGGGAGAAAATGTGGAAGCGACTGGATAACTCAGTGACAGTCGGTGGAGAAGCATATCGGTATTCCTTAAGTCCCTCACAGGTTCGAGTCCTGGTCAGGCTGCACATTTTTCTCACCCAGTGACACATATTTATTTGTTAATAAAGGAGATAATGATATTTTCTAGTAATTTTATGTTTGCTAACATATATATTTTGTTGTTTCTCGCCAAGAAAATTTTGGACATGTGACAGGCTAAAAATGGCCTCAGGTCGATCTTAGGGTAACTAGTAACCGACGCTGAAAAGCCTTTTACTCTATCTCAATTCATTGAGAAGTTGCAGCACTTTGAAATCAGTTTTGATGAAAAAAACAATGCAAAATAGTGATTTTTGGCAATTTTGAGACATCCCCCCCTTGCCATGGTAACAGGAAATTTACGATTGAGCATGCTGTTACAGAGCCTGAGAGGCTATGGTGTAGTCAACACTTGTGCCAAGTTTCATCAGTATTGAAGCATTTTTCATAGTTTCATAGCAGTTTGAACTTGTTACAGGAGGCTTTTCAATGAAAACGGCCTTTTTTCGCAATATGCTCATGGGGTAAAAGGTTAAACAAAATGTATACAACATGTTTTTGACCAAATCACCATTCTCTCAAATGAGCCTTGCACAAACCAGAAAATTCAAGTGGTCCGACGGACCAGTGCATTTTAAAATTAGGTGGTCCTTGCCAAAATCAGGTGGTCTCGGACCAACGGACCACCGCTAATGTCGAGGCCTAATAGGTATTACAAAAACTTTAACATACATGGTTAAGCTGACACAGACTCTGACCCCCGGGTGACTACAATAGCTCTACTTATTCTTATCAAATAGCAAGATAAAAATGCTGCCAGCACACTGGATTTAGAGTAGGACCGTTTAGAGTACGAGTGACTCTGATAATATCTATCTCTGGATACTGCCAACCCCTCTTACGAGTGTTAAAGGCAGGAATTTAGTGCATGTCGGATTGTTAGTAAAAGGTGAAAAGAAAAACTAAAAAAAGAAAAGTCCAAGCATTGACATGCTTGGAAGGTAAGACTGAAAATGTATTATAGTCATGGTTAAAATGTTAATAGTGAAACAAGATGATAAGAGATAAAATTGTTTAAAAACACTGGGAGTAAGACTAGTACTGCAAACCCACCACTGCCTGTTTGAACTGACTCAGGTTGGGCAGGGTGGCAATGTTACTAGGAAGTTTATTCCATAGTATAATGCTATGAGGGAAGAAAGAGTACTTATGGTAGTCGGAGGATACCTGTATTTGGCATAAGGATAAGGGATGCATATGTCTGGTTAATCTATGTGGGGTTTGAACATAAGTTGGGAGATTAATTGCAACTAGGTTATGGTATATCTTATAAAACATTATCAGTCTACAGTCCAATCTGCGATGTTCTCGCCAGCCCAGTTCTTCCTGTATGGCTGTGACACTAGAGAGAGGGGAGAATCCCTTTTTACTTATCGTATTGCACGTCTTTGGATCATCTCAATTTTGTCAATATTGGTTAAAGTGTAAGGAGATTAAATATTTGAAGCATATCCAACCTGTGGGCGGACCTAGGATTTGTATGCTAGTTTTTTCACTTTCTCATTACATTCCGTTAGATAAAGCCAAGGAATATATTTGCATTAAAAGCTATCCGAGATATATGTGTTAAATCTAAGGTCAGCAGACGGATCTAGTCCGAGATATTTAGCATTAGAAACCGATTCTAGGACTTGGCAATGTAACATTTATTTATGTATAGTTATTATGGTATTGTTTTTGGTGTAATGGATGTGTTTGTACTTTGAAGGGTTAAACTCCATGTCCCACTGCTTCTCCCACAGAACCATATTGTCTAGATCATGTTGGAGAGTTGGGGGGTCTGAGGAGGAATTGATGGTTAGGTATACAGCAGTGTCGTTTGCAAATAATCTGACTTGAGATTTAAGGACAGAAGATGGTAGCTTGTTGATATATAGAAGGAAACAAAGGGGCCCTAGGAAAGAGCCTTGGGGCACTCCAGAGGTAACTGGGACTTCAGATGAGCAGTCACTATCCACAACTACTGTCTGTCTACGGCCAATAAGGAAGGACTGTATCCAGTTTATAATTTGAGGACAAACACCATGTTCTTGAAGGGTATCTAAGAGTTTAAGATGGTTTACTTTATCGAAAGCTTTGGAGAGGTCAAGAAGTATGAGATCTGTTTGTTGGCCATTTGAAAAGTTGTTCACAAGGTAATCAGTAAGTTCAATGAGTTGTGTCTCACATGATCGTCTTTCTCTGAATCCATGCTGAAGATCAAAGAGTATGTTGTGGGTGGTAAAGTGAGAGGATAGTTGAGAGGCAACTATGTGTTCAAGTCTTTTACAGAGGATGCATGTAAGGCCTAAAAAAAAAATTGATGTGTTTCTGGTGGCGAGGCGAAAAAAAGTAGGGTCGGGTCGGTAGGTCGGCCTTTTTTTTTTTTTTTTTTTTTTTTTTAGTCAATCAACGATTGTAGATATGTCAGATACGGATTATATGGACTTTAAATTATATTCTATAGCATATAAAAGTACTTAAAAATGTTAGACTACCAAACCTAGTCTTCAATCTTATATTTTGAAATAAATTTTACCAATGGCATGACTCGACTTTCGTTTTCATTTTTTTTATTCTTACCGAACAACTGGCTTCAATTTTAATATTATCACTCTTAACATGACCATGCACGTCCGAAAAATGTTTTGAGCTATTTTGCTGTGGTCTATTAATTTGATTTCCTGTTTTGCCAAACTATGATCGTATTTTTAAAGAAAATCGCCAGCAGTGACACTTCGGCTGCTTGTTTTGCCGCCATATTAGCCGGTGCGCGTTAATACGTAATTGGAACACGAATCGTCTGTGCCTCACATCGTTGTCGACTCGCAATACTAAAACCCGTCTTCGGTACGGTCGGTACGGGCGCCATTTTTTTTTTTTGTACATCGATAAAAAACTTTGGGTCGGCGCTAAAAAAATAGGGTCGGTCGGGCCACCGGAAACACAACATTTTTTTTTTTTAGGCCTAAGGGAAATTGGGCGATAGTTTGCTGGATCACTTGTATCACCTTTTTTGTAGACAGGGCATACGTTTGCACGGGTCCAGTCATTGGGAATAGTACCAATGGTCAGGGATTTTTGGAAAAGAAATGCAACAATGTCAACAATCTCTTCTCTCAGCTCCTTCAGGACAATAGGTCTAATATTTTCTGATGCCTGGGGGCGAGTCATCACTCTTAGTGGGTGGAATTGTCAGGGGGGGGCAAATCGTTACATTATCCTTGTTTAGACGCTTTGCCTTTATCAGTTTTACATAAGTCTTGAATTTCATATCATTATAGAAAGATAAATTAAAATTTAAATGACATCTGGCAGATTAAAAAAAAATAATTTTTTAATTTTTTAGGCTTTGCCTTTATTTCATTAGTCATTATTGATAAAACAAAACAATTATACAAATGTGTTACATAAAATCAAATGCATTATAATCATGATAAATAGAACAACCTGTCAAAAACTGAATTTGTTTGCGTAATTTTTCATTTTCTGACTGATCGGCTTCCATTTTGGACCTCTTATAGCAATAAAAAAAGAATCACAACATCGTAATCAATTTTCTTGGAAAAATTATTCTTATTCTGTTCAGTTTAGCTTTTAAATTTTTAAGAAATATTTTACAAATTATGTTACATTCAGATACGAATTCCTTCAAAAATATATTGATATATTTATTTCTATGATGTAAGGAAAAATAATCCGTTGTCTAAATGCAATCTTTTTAAGATTTAGTCCAATATTTATACGTTTTTTGTACGTAATAAAAGTCTCATTACAGAATTTATCTTTCAAAGTATTTATAATATATAGTAAAATTATAGAATTTATTTTTATAATTTAGAGTTTTCGATTTATATTGTTTTTAAATGTTTGTTTATCAATAACAAGATTGCAGACACTATTTGTAATGTATTGTAAATAGCGCATGAATTGTGAAACCGAAAGGAAAGTCAATAACTTTTACCGTAACAAATCAAACAAAAATTTTCACATAAGCAATACGGATATGGAGCGAATTGAAGAAGCTGCTAGGCAATGGCTTGAAGAACACAAAAAGGAGTACAATTCCTGTGACTTAGAAAGAAAAGATTATGATTTTATTTTCACATTTTCAACTGACACTGACAAGTCTAGTGGTGTAACATGTTCATTTAGTGTAACGTGTCCAGACTCTGATGATGGTTTATGGGTGAGCATTGATAGATATCCATTTGGCGAATATGTAACAACTATAGTTGCTTAAGTTAAACAGTCATTAGTATTCTATCAGTGGTCTAGTTCGGCACAGAATCAGAGTGTTCCAACTCATTCAATGTCGTTAGGTAGCAAGACACTTCACCCCCAGAAACTTCACCCCTCAAATTTTGAAGACACTTCACCCTATATAACGGATAATTCATGAGAAAATGAGATGAAAACAGATGGTTACACACATATTGCATTATATTGTCAACAGAATGCTATTAGAATCTGTCCTCGGCAAAATCCATGTTTTAAAAGCCTAGCTAACCCCATTACATAGCTCTCTAACCCTTACCCTAACCCATTACACTGACCCCTAATCTAACCTTATCAGTAATCTGTGTGATTTTGTAGAAAAAAACATAAATATTGAAGAAACAATAATGGGAATATCATATGATAATGTTAAAAATAACTTTGGACAGATATTCTACTGTTCTAAAGTCTAGCCATTATCAACAAAAAATTCAAAAGTTAGAAAATGGCATTGAAGAAACCTAAACTGGTCCTGTACAGGAACTGGTAACATGATTGTACTGTATAGCAAGGGCTTAGTGCTTAAGGGTTATATATAACCCATAATACGAAGCATTTGATATACATGTAAGGTGACTAGCTTATGGTCTTCAGCATACCCGTTTTTATACTGTAACAGGATGGGTACATTGAAGACAACTGATTTCTGTAGGGAAAGTCATCCAGTAATCATGCCAGGAATCTGGCACATCCCTATTCATTTATGTAGCATGCCATGAAGTTAAGTGAAGCATAATGCAGCATTATGCTGATAAAATATAATGTATATAATTATGTATTTGTTGTTAGTAATAAACTGTGTAAATAAGAAAGATATTAGTTTTAACGGACATAATACTTGAACTGTCATTTTGTATCTAAATGATTTTATATGATTTATTTTCCCTTATCAATTTATTGGCTGTCACTTGGATGCTACATGCTGCATAATAAACACCACTTATCTAGTCCATAGTTGCTTATCCCATTATATTGCATTTATGTGCAAGGATATGACTGTGTCATAGAATAAAAGGAAAAATGAGAAACTAAAGATACATAGAATGATAAAGCTATTAATGTATATATATGTAATTATGAACTTCATTATACAGTTAAATGTGGATCAGCTTTTATTGAATTTGGTACCTGGCAATAAATAAACAAATTTACAGTTGGTCCTTCAGACCCTCAGACTTACAAATGGAAAGAGCTTTAACCCGTATGACTATGTGTCATTTCTTTCCATGGAATTATGAGAATTCAGTGTAACAGTATTTGATAATTTTAAGGCACTTGTTTAATTCACGGTATGATAACAAGCACAAAAAGTATTGTACATGTAATTAAAGGCAGATTCCACTTACCTGGAAAAGTTCCCTTAAATGATTCTGTATAAAAACATTTGTTTTTATTTCTAATTGCATGAAGGAAAAATTTGAATTTTAAAGTCCTGTTATTTTCAGTCAGTATGGAGTGAAGATTCAAGTCTACAGCCACATTTAGGTGTAATACTAGAATTTTGTGACTCAAAGAGACAGAAAACAATCCAGGAAATACTAGATAAGATAAATTCAGTGTTACCTTTGGTATAACCTTCTTTTTTATTTTTTTTCTTATCAAATTTGTTTTGCATAAGTATTTTATGATTTATGTATATCACAAGTATTTACTGTACAATGTATGTTTTAATATAAGTTTCAAGTGAAAACCTGTGTGGGTCTCATTAGTAGTGAAATAATTAATGTTTAAAAGTTATCTTTTCTGATATTCGTTTGAAATACTACTTTTTCTACATTTTGCTACTTTTTAACAAATAATTTCATATCAGAGATACTTTCTTCAAGTGATAATCATAAGCATCTAAAATGCTCTTAAATACCATTATATAAACTTGATAAAACTCTTGTTGCCCTTTCTAAAGAATGAAAAAAATATTCATTTCTGAGTCATAATGTGCCTTTACACAAAATGTAAGTATTTTGAGGTTGTTTTTATTTTGGTCATAGGTATTAGATAAAAGTAAGCCAGTAACAGAAGATAAAGAAGAAATGGAAGAAGATGATGATTATGACGTTGATGATGATGACGATGATGCCAATTTTTATGATTACAATGATGATGTAGAAGAGGAATCTGCAGTAAGAAATAAAACACCTGAAGAGTGAGTTTAAATGTCTCAGTTTACTCTATATACTGTGAATTCATTTTATTTCGTGGGCATGAAATTTCGTGGTTTTGTCACAAAGAATATTTTCAAAAGTTCTTAAATTCATGGACTGTTAATTTTTCTCCAAAAGGTTAAATGTAAATAAAGCAATGCCAGGGCATTTTTGTCAAAATTGTTAAGGGGCCTGGGCCTGTTCATTTTGTGGAAAAAAGTGCGATATGTCATAAAATTGTGGAAAAAAAAAAGACATATTACTTGGCATTTTGCGACAATTTGAAACCAGAAACAGTTGATTATAATTTCTGACCTGTATAAAATCTGTTTCAAGTCGGTACTTTAACCCAGTACTTTAACCCAGTTAACATGTGCAAAAACCATTTAACTGGATTAAAACTATTTCTGTGTTATTGCAATATTGAATTTGTGAATTTTTTTCTGCCGCTTTGTGATAAAAAGTACAATTTTGAATTGTGAAGGGGCCTTATATCGGCCCCGGTTATAGAAGGAAAAAAGCCCTGAATGCAAAATAATCTTACAGCAGACAAAATGAAATTTTGTTGGATATTAAAATCTTGGATTGACCTATCCTTGAAAACCACGGTAATTAGTTTGATTATAAAAAAAGAGTATAATGTCATATAATCAGGTAGGTGTGATTTATTCTTCTATACTGTTTAGTCATGATATTCATTGTTTTCTGATTATTTGGAAACTTGAGGAGTATGATTCAAATAGTCTCTGTCAATATAAAGTATTGGACCTTTGTCAGATTCCCTGACTCTGCTACTCTGGATATATTCCACATATAAAAAAATTCAATGTCTCTTGTAGGATTCAAACTTACAGTAGTGAGTAACAAGTGCATTTAATTCGAGTGACATTAACCTCTTACTCATATATAGAGATTAATATGTTTTTTTCATTTACTAGTGTAACATAACATATTGATAGATGTTTCATAAACTTTTTAAAGGGAAAGACAAGGTTGGAATAAAAACTTGATTTCAGAAAAAGAATACTATAAATAATAAGTCTGCAAATTTTCTGCCGCCAAATAATAATATTAAACGAATGATAACAAAATTTAAAAATCGCTAAATCACCGATTTCTTACAAATCAGTAAGCGCGGCCATGTTTATGTATTGGCCGTATAAAAAACAGGTGCGCGTGATGTCATTTCCCCCACATCTTTAGATTCATGATAAATCTAGTTGAATCGTAAGGAAATATTAAATATAATAAAGTATTGACCAGACAATTTAATTTTCACAGGAGGTGTAGAGGAGATTTTTTTATGGTTCAAAATACGTAACAATGTCAAAAAAAAAAAAAAAAATAATAATAATGATAAATAAAGAAACGTACGGCTAGCCAAAAGTTCTAGCCGTACGTGAGTCACGAACGACTAGCCAGGACGCACTGTACGTATTGTCTAGCCGTACGGCACTTTTCAAAATTATATGGATGTCGAACGTTATAAAATTGTTGATTTTCATGCTTATCATTTGTTGTTTTATTTGTATGAATTATTAAATCATTTTTGTTAATTTTAAGCACATGGGTCGAATAAAAAATGATCGGAGTGGAATAAATAAATAAAAAGATCATTGAATGAAACAAACGGTGAAATGCAAAAATAATTATATAATTTTCTAAACAGTAGATAAATATCGAACATAAAAGCACAGTCAATCAATTAATTAGCCTTAATTAAAACCTATCCAGGGACTGACAATAGAATTTTAGTATGCCTTTCACGGAACATGCAAACTTTCCTTGATGGACAAACTTCTATCCGGTATCGTCGGTATTTTGTCGCAATTATCAAGAGCCTAACAACAATCATTTTCAGTGTGTGTTTTTTTTTTTCCATATAAAAGGTGTCGAAAATTTAACTTAATGAAACAAAAAAGGATTTTTATCAAAATTTTGTTAACTATTTCAATTGGTGTAAATGCAAGCAAAGGCTATTTTTTTCTCGACATCTTGCGATGACAAAGATCGATATATATAGCGATCAAGGCGGATTAATCTCTAAAAAGTTAACATCCAAAGACAATTAATGCTGTTTCTTGGTTAAAATCCTCGCTTAAAGTCATAAATAACATATGCATTTTCGACTTCCATAAAATTTTGAAAAAGTGCCGTACGGCTAGCCAATACAGCGTGTCCTTGCTAGTCGTACGTGACTCACGTACGGCTAAAACTTTTGGCTAGCCGTACGGGCCCGTACGCTAGCCACTTCCATTATAAAAACCCTACTAAAACGTGTTCTTAATTAGTACATATAATTAAATTTTTGCAGTTTGATTCTGACTTTCAAATTTAAAGGTGTGGACATATGTTATAATTCATGTACACATTTCAAAAATATAAGCAACTCTTTTGAAAAGTAAATTGTTAACATGTCTGTCAACGTATGATGCTGCGCATCGTAATCATAGCCTAATATTAACTGCAGGTAAATCATTTTTATTGGCTGCTCAAAAAATCTAATTTGCATAATTTATTCACACAATTGCTGGTTTTTACTACTTATGTCTAATACTGCGCATTGTCCATTTTAATTGTTCCTAATTTGCACCAAATGCTCCTGTCACACTGTGTACTGACGATTTTTATTGCTCCTTGTATGCCTCTGTGCCGACAGACCTTTTGATCATGCACAATGTTGCCCTGATTGGTTAATCACCCTTGTCAAATATTCTTATGACGAAATAGACATCTATTTTTTTACGCTTCATCAGTGAACTGAATGACCTTAGGGGGAATTAGGTTCCACACTGTAGTAAATTACAGCACGTCATAAAATAGCAACACATTTTTTCAGTTACCAATAATCATTTGAAATATTAAGTAGATTTATGATTTTATGTTTTATTGGATTAAATTTACGGTAGTAGTAATGCGTATCTGTCGGGAAAGTAATTTGGTAAGTAGATAACGTGGAAAAAAGAATTAGGGAGCTGGATAAACCCGAGAATATGCGTAATTATAGGGGAATGGGCAACCTGTTGCTGTTGGTACCAGTTTTGACAAATGATAATTTATGTCTGGGCGTCTTCAATAAAATAATTAAATTAATTAATTAAAGCAATTCAGTTCCATATGATGTTTTAAAAAAATAAAAAATATAATTTTTAAAGCAAAAAAAAAATAAGTTCTTTATCAAATAAATTTTAGTTTTACCCAGCGTGTACACCTATAAAACCCAATTTTGGGAAAAACAAATCCAAAACTCCCGGGCCCCCTCCGCTTGGGGAGAAAAGACAAACCCAAAAAAGGCGGGGCCCAAGAACTTTTTTCAAGTAAAAATAGTTTTAAAACACCAAAAATTTTTCTCTTAAAAGGGGTTATTCAAAAACTTTAAAGATTTCCCTTTTAAATGATAATAATTTTTTAAAAGAAAAAGACTAAAACATCCATTTCCCTTTCCCCTTTTGGGAAAGGGCTTTTAAAAAAGTAAAGAAAAGGCCAGAAAAAAACTGCCCTTGTGTATTTTCGATAAACTTTAAAATCAACTACATTTGTAGTATAATTATTTACTCGGAGTTTTCAAATGATCTTAGGCAACAGATGAAAACAACCAATTTTGCCAAGGGTCAAGAGGGATATTTTAATATACAGGTTGAAAATACCACCAATTTTAACATAATTTTAACCTTTGATATGCATCACCTATCCGTTAATAATTAAAACCCTGTTTACTTAAGAGGCATGACATATAAAACCACTATAAGTGATGACAAATAATTGTGTTTAGTACTTATATACAAATACAGAAAGAATAATTAATTTTTCTATTACAGAGTAAGTTCAGAAGAAGATGATGAGAGATTTTTTGGAGGGAAGACAAATCCAACTGCATTCCAGAGACTTGTTAAAGGTACTCTTCTATAGCATTGTCATACTGGTAAACTTGTAGAAGATATTATGTGAGTTTTAAGGGTATATTATACTTATACATCTATACTAGCATGATGCCAGTCTTTGGCTTGAACAATTTTTTTGACATCTTTCCTGAAACTGCTGTTAAGAAAAAGTTGGAAAGGCCTGTAAAATTACAGTACCATCTACCTTCCAAATTGTTTTAAATAACTTGTCACGCCTATTTAAGTGATATTTATGTCATGTAAGAAAAGTTGATTTTAACAGAAGGTTTACATGAACTGTAAGGGCAGAATGTATGCTTGTATTTTTCCTGTTATGTGATAATTAAAAATCCAATTAGCATATTTGGCATGTTTGTACCCACAAAATTGAGAGATCTACAGCAATATGAAAATTCAAGCAAGAAATAGAAACATTTTAACAACATCTTTTTTATGAAAAATTTATGAACCAATATTCGTCTTACATGTTTATAGTTTTATAGCCCGGCAAAAAAAAGTTTGAAGTTAGCTTGTCTCCTGACCTGTCTGTCTTGTGAATGCTACTCTTCCTACATTACAGTTTTTATTTATTTTATTTTTTTAAATCAACTTATTGACCAGGCATCATATATAAACATGTGACTACTATTTAAAAAATAAAAATCTTACTTTTCAGACTTGAAAAATATGAAAAAAGAGGCACACAAATTTGGTATAGAAGGAACACCAAGGGGAGACAATCTATTTATATGGGTAAATAAAAACACTTTGATCTTTGATTGCTGGAACGGTTAAGAGCTATGTTTGTATATGCAGTCTGATCTGCTATATTCTGGTTTACTGCTCAGTTTTTGATATTTTAATATTGAAAATAATCAAAGTAAAATGGTACATTCCAAGCTTGAAATAAATGGATAGTTCTATAAAACTATATGATTCATGGGACAGTTGCTTGTAGTGATGGATTTTATTGTAATGGGAAACCATTTTATATATTTGCACCTTTTTTTCAATTATTCAATGTGTTAGATATAGACAGCACAAACATTATCAGTTTTTAATGCTTACACTTTTTTAAGTGTGATTGGGTCAGTCCATATATTTGTCTGTATGTATGCCACATTTTCCTTGTCAGGTCAATAGATTGCCAGGGAATAAGCCATGGTTTATGAAACTTGGCCCATGGCTAGTTGATACTCTATATTGACTTTGAGGTTAATAGTTCAAGGTCACAGTGACCAGAATGAAAAATAAAACTTTTCTAGAGCACAACTGTTTCATTAAAAACAAAATATTTAAGGACGTTTTCAGGAGTTTTCATATAGACATATAGGCAAAATTAAAACTGTTCTATAGAATTTCTTTATACTTGACATGTTGTTAGAATATGCAAACAGAAACATTTTTAGCGAAAAATAAATTGGGGTCACCGTTCTTGTTTTTGAGTTATCTGCCCCTGAATCAGAATTTTCTACTTATTTGAGGTCATTTAAAGGGCAGATAACTTCTACATACGTTATTGAATTATTGTTTTTACTTCTGGATAATTTTTTTCTTTTTTTTGGTTGAATACAATACATAATTACATGCAATTCCTTGTATCTTTTCTGTTAATTTTTTTCAATGAAAATAAAGGTACTTTAAATGCATAAAAAAGCAGCCAATTTTTTTTTTAAAAAATGCACAGGGTCAATGAAGAATTGGGAAAAAAACTATCCACTCTAAATTTGTTCTTGAAATTTTGCATATTAACTAAGACGAAGGTAAGCTTCATAAAAATAAGAAGGCAAAAATGTATTCTTTCGCTTCATTGTAAATTATTTGCCCTTGAATTTAACGAAAATGTCCACTTCAAAGGCAGATAACTCGAAAATGAGAATGGTGACCCCAAATTTTTGTCCGTTTAAAATGTTTCTGTTATCATATTCTAATAAAATGCCAAGTTTAAAGAAATTCTATTGAACAGTTTTAATTTTGCATATATGTCAATATGAAAACTCCGAAAAACGTCTTTAATGGCTGAATGTACATACTTACATTTTACTTGAAGGATGTGAAGTTAACTGGTTTTTCTGCAGACACTACATTAGGGAAAGATATAAAAAAGTGGGCAGAAAATCATAAAAGAGAGGTGAGTGTTAAAACTTTGTAACACAAGATTTTTTAGCTCCCCATGAAGGTAAGCTTTGCTACTTTATTTACTGTTATTTCTTTAAACAACAACTCCCAAAACGCTGAAAAAAAGTTTGGTAATATTTTTGATAACGGTAATATTTAAATAATGTTCATTCTGGGTGTAAGAGTTAAATTGGGCCTCCTGTTTGTACTATTTATCATTCAAAGCTTGAACTTATTGAAGTATTTGTCATTACAGTGAAATGTTCATGGCAGCTGCTTAGTTTTTCTGTAATTGCTCCTATTATATACATATTTATCAGTTTATTTCTTATGTAGTTATGTAAATGTGTGTTTTTAAGTATTTTATTAAATGAAAGAAAGGACAGAATACCTTTAGTTATAAATAAGGTTGCAATAAAATATAAGATTACAAGCAATGCAAATGGAAGGAACCAACACAACAGCTTTAATATGTTTCATAATGTATTGTTCCCTTTACATTGTAAATATTTTAAATTTTACCCAAGTTTTGTCAATTTTTTTTTATGTCAATTTTATTGTTTCTGTGGTTACAGCCAGTGGTTTATTTAGAGATGCAGTTTCCTGGAGACTATCCCATGGCCCCACCATTTGTAAGGGTCACACGGCCAAGATTCAAATTTCTCACAGGTGAGAGTTGAGGTATTTTTAGCTCACCTGAGGACACTGTCCTCAAGGTGAGCTTTTGTGATGGCCCATTGGTCATCGTCCATGCGTGTGTCAACAATTCCTTTAAACAACTTCTCCTCCTAAACCACTCGGCCAAATTTGTTGAAACTTTGCAGGGATGTTCCTTGCATGAAGTTCTACAAAAGTTATTCAAAGAATTGAATTCCATAAAGAACTCTGTTTGCCATTGGAACCGAAAGATTTTTTTACAAAAATCTTCTTGTAAAATTTCGAAAGAGCTAGAGCTTAGATATACTAGCATGAAACATCTTCTAGTGGATGTCTACCAAGTTTGTTCAAATAAAAGCCCTAGGGTCAAAATTGGCCCTGCCCAAGGGGCCATTGATTTTCCTTAAAATGTTAAAATGTTAAAATGTTTAGTCTGTATGATTTAGCTCTTTGCAGCTTAACATATGTCAATAGTTTTACTTGATTATCATTTTAAAGAGCTTGATAATACTAGAATACTTAAAATATTATCATAAAAGAATAGTATAGGTGACTGATCTTTATACTGCTTGCACACTTATGCTATAAACATATAGATAACTGACACCACTCAAACTTTTTTTTTAAAAAGTCACCTCCAAAATTTAAGATGTTTTATGTTGTTTTTTTACAGGTCATGTTACCATAGGTGGCAGTATATGTATGGAAATGTTGACAAAATCTGGCTGGACACCAACCAATGACATAGAGGTATAAATTTATTTTTAGCTTGTCTGTTTCAAAGTAAAAAAAAAAAAAGTCATATGGATTGTTGCATTGTCATTGGAAACTTTGAATACTTGACCAGTATTACAAGATGCAGTTGTGAGACAAGGTGCATTATCCTGGAAGCAATATATTTAGGAGTTATGCCCCTTTTTAACTTACTGGTAGATGTAACTTAATTTGTTGTTCTTGGAAATTGTTAGGTGATACATGTTTCAAAGATATTATACTTGCTGGTGTGGTCAAACCACATCTGTAGGACAAGGGACATAAATTAGTGATCAGCATTAAAATTTTCAAGATTTATGTTCTTCTTGAATTGGAAAATAATACAATTTTGTTTAAATACTAATGTCTTAAAATTCATAATCACAATATTGCTCATTGTACGGAGAAATAAATAAACTGCATAACAGGCAATTTATTTTAGTTGTAGGTTTTAACATTTGAGCATTAACATAGTATTCAGTGCTCTCATTTTTTTTATTGTCCCTTTTTAAAAAAAAAAATTGCTAGCATTTCATACAATATTGTCTTTGTTACTTTTCTTGTATAAGATAACTACATTTTCATTGTTACGTTACAAGAATGTGTTGTTTAAAATTATATAAACTAAAGATGTTTTAGTAATAATTTTAACTGAAATTTCTACTAGTATTGTTTTAATACTTCCTAAACCTTTTAGCTCAAGGTTTAAAAAAACTAAATTTTTTCTAAAATGTTTTGCCATTAAATTTCATATTTGTATTTTTTTATCACTATGAATATAAAGTAATTGAGTTGTATATGCAGTTATTCTAGTACCTGTAACTGGACCTCTGTGTTAAAGACATCTCAAGGGTTCTATTGCTACATATATTCATTTAACAAATTATATCTTGTTAATAAGCATAAATTTAAAAGAGGGTTATTGCACCTTTTTTCGTGCATTAATAATCTCTGCAGAAGGAAGCATAAGGATGCATTTAATGATCGAGCATACACGTGCTCAAGTGCATGTTTTTTCCTATGTTATTGTATAAGTGCGTATACAGTTTTTATGCAAGAATAGGTACTAAGACATCATAAATAGATTACAAAATAATATAATATCATTTACTATTAATATTGTAAAACTTATTAACAAATAGAAGAATCTATTATTTTATTAGATCTATAACTCTATTACAAAATAAAACACATTACTTCTAAATGCATAGCTACTTTTTTACAATTATTAACCCTGAACATGCTGAATATCTTGAATGGACTTGTCCCCTTTCCATTTTTGGGACTGTCCATTATCAAGTTTAGGAATATCAATTTGAATATTTAAAATTTGTCAGCCAACAGTATAGAGCCTGGTCAGACTGCACGGATGTGCAGGCTGGCCTGGCTCTATACTGGTGGCAAAGACTTAATGCTTTCAGGTCCAGCACTTAAATGATTAAAGTAGAAATTTTCTTGTTTACAGAGTATTCTTGTTCAGATAAGATCTGAGATAATGAGTGATCCAAACACAAGATTAGACAGTAATCCTGACCGAGAATATGGTGAAGCCGAGGCAAGAGATGCTTTTAATAGAATGGTTAACAGATATGGATGGAACAAGTGAATTGTTGGAACAAAATTACTTTCACGTTCATGACACCAAATGTATTCCCATTCCAAAAGACTACTACATGATGGATGATTTTCTATGAATTAAATAAGAAATAAATTAATTTAGTAAAAGATCTGTTATTATTGAATAAATGTTAAGTTTGTTAATTGCATATTAATGACTTAAATTACAGGTAGAAAAAATACAGTAAGAAAAAGTATCACAAGTGAAAGAATATTGTATAAGTGGATATTTTTGTTCATCAAAATGTGTGCGAGATCAAAGTTTCAGAAGTTTTCATTTGACATTTGGAAATGTTAACTAGTCCCTGATTCCATTTTTTTGTGTGAAATTTACACACTGAAAATCACTCATCCTTGAAACATGTTCGTGTAGTACATGTATTTACCACTTAAACTCAGTATCTGATATGTGTTTTATATAATGTTCTTTTTACTATTTGGTCCAACGAATATTACTGTTGATGTAACATGAACAATACGAAAATGTAAAAAGTGAAATCATCGCATACATGTCCTGCTTGGTCAGTGGGTTGGAAGTTTAAAGTTGATGGTAGTTATCTATAATTATTAGTTAACCGCTGATGATTCATTTTTAAACATCTGTACTTTTCAGAAAATTGTTTGAATACCTGGTTTGATATTTGTGAAGTCCTTTACATATAAAAATGATTTGATCCAAGGAAGGGATTATAAGGCTAAAATGTTTAAATTGTCTTCAATTTTAATCTGCCAGAAGACAGAGGAGTAATTTGGCGGGCTTTTTTCAAACAAAAGGCCAAAATTTGAATAATGAATTTTTTTATGGCTAATATTTTGTAAATTTCTATATTGCAAATGTCACTTCTTATACAGTAGTATACCGTTAACTTGTTAAGGAGATCTTTCCTATTATTGGGTGAAAAAAAACACCAAAAAACAGTCATATAACTAAATTTATGAACAATGGGTGAAAAAGACAACAATCATATAACTATATATATAAACAATGATGATAAATTTTGTTTTGAAAATAAATGTAGTAAATATTAAAATGAAATTTGCAATGGTATAACTGAACTTGATTCTAGTGTGCTTATGATCAACAAGATCTACGATTTCCACACGATGACATCATGCTTACATTGTACTATTTATAGCGTGTACAAGTACCTATAAAGATATGTTTGACATTCAGGTAGGTGTTGATTAAAAGACAAGAACTACATCATTTGTTTTCTCACGATTGAAAATAATAAGACTTAACTTAATACACTGGATTCTAATACACTTGATACTACATAATTATAGTAACAAAAATGCCTCTGACGAGAGTCATGTGTCCAGTTATGAGTTTGCGGAAAATAATAAGACTTAATTATTGATACCATATCCAGTAAGCTGTATATAATGAGGGCTTAATGTTTGTACCTTAACAACTAGAACATATTTCTTCTTGAGATGTTGATGTCTCATGTTTATGGTTGTGACACTATCAGCATTCTGGTCTGTGCCTTACATTATAAACAAAGTTGTATCTGAATTTCTATTCTGCCATATGTTAGCTGGAAAGTCAGTATTCACTTATAACTAAATGAAATCAAGAAAAATCCTTAATATAGACTGTCATGAACTTGTTGTATAATATGTTTCTGATCATATCTATAAATTTATGGAGATATTTTTGTGGATTATTTTGATGAACTTCAACAGTTACTACTTCAGTAGATACTGTAGTGTAGTCATAAAATGGTCTTACACCGGCTGTCGGTACAGACTGAAATATCTAGCTTGACAATAACTGTCACTGTTTATGGCAGTAACCAAGCTCTGCTGTATTTCCGCTAAAATTACAAAGAGCTAGATATTCGGTCTGTAACTACAGCTGGTGTTTGATTTGTTTTTCTTGCATGTAACATTTTAATCATATCAGGAAAGATTTATGGAATTATATTCTTTTATTTGATTGGTTTTGTCATTGAAAGTTCTGTAAGTTAATTATTGGAGGACAGATGATGTATCAGTGAAATGATATTAATTGTTCTTGTCAGTTAAATCAGCCACATCACAAAAAAACCTTCGCAGATGTGCAGGCTGGTCTGGATCCATGCTGGTCGCAAACGCATTACGTTGCTTTTGTCGTGATGAGGCTCATTAATGTGTTTTGGGATTCTATAAACAGACTTGCCAGTTTTTTCCATATCATGAGCAGTAAAAGACAAACAACAGTTGACATGTTGTCAATTGAATTGTGTAAATGGAAAACATTTGTAGTGAGCCAAAGTAATTCTCAAATCCAAGTTCATTGATTTTAAGTTGTAAATTCTTATGATGAATTTGAAGATTTTTTTTTTTTACTTATGAGAGTAAGTAGTAAGTAAGTATGGTAAGTAACAACTTTATTTAATGAGGCTAACACATTCAGTTTCCAGATCTTCCATGTGGGCCTTATTATATACATAACAAATATATACATTACACATTTTAAATAACATAGAAAATGAGAGAATGAGGCCTTTAGTAAGAATATAATGTAATATAGATTTTTATTGATAATTTTTGATTATCTCTCTTTTACAAGCTTTCCTAAATTGATTGTTTTTCAAGCAATAAACCTTAAATTCCCCCGAATGGTGTGGGGGTTGCATACGTGAATGTTTCCATTTTTTTTTTATCTTTTTCATATTTATCATTAAGGGAGATTTTATATTCATTTTGTGTGTAACATGCAATTTTATCTATCTTAAATTAACAAAATGTGTATCTGTGATACCCTGTGTTAATCACAGAGGATATAAATTTATATATGAAATATTTGATTCATATTATGTTTCACAGCTTTTGTGTTTTCTACGATAGAATTAAAATCATAGAATTGTATTCACAAAAATTCATTTTCAAGCATAATATTCATTCCATTTATAATGAAAATCATTTTTGTTAACTTGAAATTGCATGAATAAATTTTGACATATCACTTAAAGATAATGTAGGAATTATAGGTTTGATATTAAAGTAATCTTTCTTTACATGCTGAAGTGCATATACATTTGAGCCATGTCATGACAAAACCAACATAATGGGTTTGCGACCAGCATGGATCCAGACCAGCCTGCGCATTCACGCAGTCTGATCAGGATCTATGCTGTTCGCTTACCAACTCTATTACAAGTGGAGAAACTGACAGCGAACAGCATGGATCCTGATCAGACTGGTCTGGATCCATGCTGGTTGCAAACCCATTATAATGGTTTTGTCGTAACGCGGCTAATTTGTACTAAAGGTGTAAATTCTGAAAATTGAACATCAGTCTGTTTATTGTAGCTAATAAATTCGGACATCTGCTGAATAAGCCAAAAAATTTGAACATCTGTGGAATTAGTCAATAAATTTGAACATCTGTGGAACAAGCCAAACAATTTGAACATCTATGGAAGTGGCCAATAAATTTAAACTGTGGAACAAGCCAAACAATTTGACCAGCTATTAGAGTGGCTATTATATTTGGACGCCTGTGAACCTAGGCAATAAATTTTAATATCTGTGGAAGTAGCCAATAACTTGAACATCTATGTAAGTGGCCAATAAATTTGAACATGTGTGGAACTAACCAATAAATTTGAATTTTCACAAATTCAGAATTATCTGAAACAGCATAAACATTTAACACTGGTTGTTTCTTGTAGTGAGAGGAACAATTGTTTATGCATAATAACATGGGTTATGATGAAAGAAACACTGATTTGTTGGTATTTAAGAAGTATCCATATTCCAGGAGGTTTAAACTTACTCCAGAATTAAGAATATTTTGGGTTTTTCTAGCTAATACGGGGGTACAAACAAACTTTTACAATTACAGCTTCAAAATACAATCGCTACAGGTTGACAAATTTATGAACAATCATGCACTGTTAAACTTGAACAGTGAGTTTGTTTGTACCGAAAAGCCAACATTTGTCGAGTCCCAGGTAACATATATTCAGATGTTTTACAGTGAAACATTATTGCGAAATTAATGTTTTATCATCACAATTGTGATTTGTAGGTGCACTTTGAAACTTTATAAAATACTTTGTTGTAAATATACTTTGTTGTAAATAAATCATTACACTAAGAATGACAATAACTTTGGAAATTTAATCCTTTTTCTTCTTCTAGTCAATGAAATATATTTTGCAGAATTTTCTTTTGATAAATTCTATTAAGAAATCAGTTACATGTATTTTAAAACTGATTACATTGGTCAAGTGTTGTCACACAGTAAAGGACTGTACTGCATTCCAAGAAAACTCTTGGCCAGTTTACTGTTTTAAATGAAGTTGTTGGTTTTCTTTTTTGTCCTGCTCTTATGTCTTATTGTTAACTCTTCTTTGCATATGTTAAACCGATATATATATTGAAGCTGTAACAAATGTTGTTTATATACATTTTGTAAATAAATTGCATACAAGTGTACAATTATTTTTTTTATTCTTTTTCCTTTTGAACAGAATTAGCAGGAAGAGAACACAACGGCCACTGTGGTATAGTGGTAAGCATACTGGACTGGCAATCCAGAGACCTGTGGTTCGAGTCCTGACTGTGGTGTGACGATTTTACAACTGATTTTTCTATATACAAAGCAGCAAACCTTTACAATTAATTATTGAGGAATAACACCAACAGCAAGGTTGTCTTGACAAATTTTATTATTGATGACCAACTAACAATTTACAACACTGTAAAGGAGATAGACAGAAATGTAACACAGATAATAATAATGTAAATAAAATTTGGATTTCCATTACAAGATCCCTATTATGTATTTCACTACACTTGTTACTATAAAAGGTAACAAAATTTATTTGAAATGATTTTAACTGATTACCAGCGTCACTTGACCAAATTATGAGTTTGTGGCCGAGGGCCCGAGATTAAAAATTAGTCGTAATCAGGCCCGATAAATGTAAGTTTGTACAAACGGTCAAATATGATATCATCAACGAGCTAAATGATGAGTGAGATTGGTGTGCATGATTTAAAAAAAAATTACTTTTTTACTGAAACTTGCCATAACTTACATAATCGCAAAAGAAAAATATTTTTGGAAGCCTGCCTTTGTATTTAAATGCTGTTGTCCATGACTTATAAGGACAGCCCTCGTATATTTAAATTTTAATATTATAAAATCTTTTTTTTTGTGCATGATCTACAAGTCTTGGATACATGTACAAGATCTGATTATGGCATTTAATGGTGATGAAACAAAGTTGATTTTAAAGACCACTCGTGTTTCTTTAAAATTTGGTTTATGTCAACACTTCTAAGTAAAAATTCATTAATGGATAATCATCAGAAATGTCTAAAATGAAATGAAAAGTTCACTTGCTGACAGTCCCACTTTAAACAGGGCCTTACAATTTCTAGAAAGATATATTTTTGGAAATCCATTTATAATCTTAGTTTATTGCCACTATGTATATAACTTTACATTTTGCTATGATTGTTTTCAATATCATAATCTACATTGCATGAAAAATCAATAACCCACATGAAATTTCTATAAATATTCTTCAGATCATGAAACACAAATTGGACCAGCATGGGTGACCAGTCTTGTCGCATTTCGGCAGTTTATCATGTTTATCCCAACTTTGTATTTTCCTCTACTTTGGGGGGAATAAAGGCATTTAATAAAAAGAATTACATGGAATCCTTTTACAGACTGCATTGCGCACTATAAACTGCGTTAAAACACCAATGCTTGGTTACACTAAGGCCCATTGATTATTTTTTCATTTACGGCTTTGCTATAAATGAAAACTTTCAGAATTCAATTACTAATTTATAATCGTTGAATAAACTTTTCTCCAGGCTTTTTATATTTATTCAGCTGTTAAAAAAGTTTTATTCCTAAACCCTTTCTATGTCTGTACCAAATTACAATAATTGGTAAATCACCATAACATGGTAAATCACTATAACAATAGTTATTTTCTGCTCTACATGATTACTACAAAATGAGAATGAGGTCTCTGAACATTCAGTAAAGCACGGAAGCACACAAATCCCTGATGGGCACCATCATTCTCTCAAATATTTTTACAGTATTTATAATCAATATAAAGAAAAAAAGTTCATTTTGTTGAATGGAAATCAAAATATTGACTTGATCATTCAGACTCGTGTTTACTAACGTATACAATACTCTAACTCAAAATTACCTAGTAATTGCATGGTAAAATGACATAAAATGACTAAAGCCATGGCTCAACCAACTATTGTCATATTCTAAAATGAAGAGCATATTAAAGCAATTTGCATTGTAAAATTTAACACAAAAATAAAATAAGAAAAATTAACATAAATCTACCAATATTTAACATGTGAAATAACATTTGTGACAGAGAATAGAATTTTAATGTAAAGGAAACAATGACAACAACATCAACAACAAACATCGCAAATTCATTTACAAGAGTATGAATATGAATGAATAACTATTTGGAAGCATGAAAAAAATATTTCTGACCAGATCATGTGATTACAGTATTGCATGTACACACATAGTGAAGGGATGTTGTGGACTTACATTTCAAATTTTCACACAAACATTACTATCATATATCTGTGAAGCTACATGTTGTGGTCAGAAATATTTTTTTAATGCTTTTTAGTATTCTCCCACAAAAGATAGTGTGCCGAACATTTAAAAAGTGCTGAGAATTCAATAACAAAAAATACAAAACAAGAAGTGTCACTAAAATGTGACGTATGCCCCCCATGATTCTGAATGGTGAACATTGGTGCAAAGTTATAATTACAGTAAATTTCAAAATCCATCAAAGAATGATCAATCATAAATGCTAAACATTCAAAACAGACTCCATTATCGGCCATTGTCCATGTATGACCCTTCACTTTAAAGGCCCATTATGCCTCATAAATGCTTTTATTTCATTTCTCAAAAGTTTTGTTTTGTTTTTTTTGATGTTTTGTTTTATAGTGATTTGAAACATCTCATGATTTTGAAAATTTGTGACATATTTAAAGAGAATCAATAGCCGAATGACAAAGTTTTGATCCAGACACGATTTTGGATGGACAATGTGATTACTAACATGGTGTTTGGGTGGGGATTTAAGTAAGGGAGATAAAATGCATCTATCTTAACAACAAACAAAACATAAATATATATTATAAAGTAAACTACAAATACAAAGTAAAAGTAAACAATTTCTAATTTTGTCCATAAAACATGATACTGTATACTTGGATTTCTAAAACAACAACAATTAAAACAAAATATTCACATTGAATGTAATATAACATTGTATCATTTATACACAAAATGTGTCTATGTATATTAAATAAGTTTATAATCACAATAACCTCTCTCTGAGACAAAAAATAACAGTAGAGTTAGTTAACAAATATAGTCAGTAAATTCACACTTTTTTGGTATTTTTATCATCACAAAGATTACTCAGTACGGTACATCTAAAGTACCAATAAAATAACAATGGCTATCAATCAAACCCTGAATGCCCAACACACTGTGTTTCGGTTTTAAAAGATAAGTCAAGTGGCACTTCCATTAGAACAGAATATTAGAGGGTGAAACATCCACACGTGGAGCATAAAAATCAACAAATTGGAAGGGGAGTTTTTCAAATTGACTTATTTTGGTTATAAACAACCAATTTGAGAGCACATTCTGACAACCCATATATAGTTAGTCCCCCTGTGATATTGGCAGTGAAGCCAATGTTTTTTATTAAACTATGTTAGCAAACAACAGCTGTCTGTATGACAGGGCGTTTTAACTATTCCCAGTATTTGACAGAAAAGGTAACTCTGCACTCTGTAAAACGGTAAGTCAAGAGTTGTGGGACCTGTTCTAATTATGTTAGACAATCACAGAGAACAAGTGTGTGAAATTTCAACTAATTCCTTTCAATGGTTTTGAACATACCAATTTGCACACAAAAAAAAAACCATAGTGCGACTTTGACACCAGGGTCAGTACAATATCTCTACCTATTCATTGAATCGTCAAGCTAAAAATGAATCTTAGTTTCACAGTATATATTCCTAAAATATCAAATATATGAATCTTAGTTTCACAGTTGATATTTCTAAAATATCAAATAAAAGAAGTGTTCACAGATGCAGTATATCTAACTAAACAAATACATGTAAAACATAATTCTATAGTGGAAATAAGTAAACTATCCCAGAATGACTGTGCAAAAAACAACCAACTTTAATAAGATCAATACTAAATTTCTATATCCTATTTTGTTACAAATTATTCATAATGTGCTGATACCGAGAAAAATATTCAGTTTATTTACATAGTTGAATGAAGTTGATTTATTACAAATTAAAAGCTCATAAGAAATCAGGTCACTTTAATTTCAACATTCAGTTATGGTTCAGATTCATGCGCTAATTTGTGTAAAATGATAGACCTGGTTCCTGTTTCACAATAGCTGAATATTCTTGTAGCATTATGTCTTTATCAGAGTTGTCACCCTTGTCATCCATTTTTTCCATAATTGGAGCTTCAACTACTGTTTCATTATCTTCTTTTACTCTGTCACAATAAGGTGTATTGTCAGTTACATCAGAATTTCCACCTTCATTCAAATTAATAAGTATACCCTGATTGTCAATTTCGTTTGACTTACCAGTAGGCGTGCTGACATCTTGTAGAATACTTGTTGGATAAACCATAACTAACTGAGTGTTTTTCACAGGAACATGTATAGGGGCACCTGCAGGATAAACAGGATAATCTTTTATACCTACATTCACTTTTTTACAGACATCAGATTTCTTGTATGGGCGCTTTTGACACTGTTTTCCTTTTTGAGAAACATTAGCTTCTTTATCTTTCTTAGTTTTTAATGTCACATATTTTTTACCATTTGTTCTTTTTACTTCCTTCTTTCCCCTCTGGGTTTCAGAATTTTGAATTAGCTTTGAAACATTTCTCGACCTAGACTTTGGGCCATTTTGTTGTGTTTCTATTCCATTTTCAGTTCCATCTTTTTGTTTATTATGACTGAATTGAGACAAAATATTTCCTCCTGTCATGGTACTGCTTCTTTCATGTATATCTTGCACTTGAGCAATTTCATCTATTCTGTCAAATAAAACAGGCTTTCTTATGTTTAAATTCATTTTCCCCAATCTTTTCTTCTCTGTAGATAGTAACAACTTTGTCGTTTTTAGTCCACGTTTTATAGATTGTTTTTGCTTAAAAGTACCCTTTGATACTGCTGCTGGGCTATTGACAATACCCTTTGTGTTACTTGATGCATTTTGTTTTTTAGATGAATTTTTTGTTTTTGTTTGCTGTGTTGTAGAAAGTTGTGACTTTTTAGGTATTCGACCAATTGCATTTGTCCTGTATGATTCTGACTTTGGTAATCTTTCATGAACCTGTTCAATTGTCAACATTTCTCCATCTATTGTTTCAAACTCTGTGTATTTATGAGGAAACCTTTTACTTCTAGGTGAATTTCTTTTCACAACTACAGGAAGTCCTGAATCTTTAGCAACCTTTGCCTTCTTGATATTTTTAGCAAGTTGTTTTTTTCTTTTATCTACAAACTTTTTAAGCTTTTTGTAGCCTTTCGGGGGATGCCCCCTTGGTATAGGAGGTAACAGCCCAACTCTTCTTCCATATTTTTTATGTCTTTCTGCAGTCTCTTTGTCCATCAGAGATGTGTCCATGAACCATGATTTTTTAGGTTTTTTCCCAGTCTTGTCATAGTTAAACTTAAAACCTCTTGTAGCTAATGGTAATCTGAAATTGTTGTAGCAAGCCACTGTACTTCTTTCATTTTTGGTTATCAAAACATTTTCTGCCATTTTCTCATCAACTTTTATATCCATCTCTTTCTCTTTCTTGTTACCATCATCATCCACTGTTTTAGCATCACTTTCATTTTTATCTGTATTGACCAGTTCAGTGTTAACCTCAACTAAGCATTCTTTGTTTAAATCATTTTCCACATTAATTATTCCCTCATTTCCATGATTTTCCTCACATGGTTCAGAACTTGAATTATTCGATTTCTTCTTTTCCACTATTTCTATCTGACCAGCATCTTCATTCAATCTTTTATCATTTTGTTCCTCATTAACACAACTTACTGAATCACAACCTTTTTTAACAAGTTGTTCTGTTTTAACAAAATTTTCATTCAATGGTTTACTCTTTGTTTTATTAGTTTTCTTCTTCTTTTTCAGTCCTTCATCCTCTTCTAACTCAAGCTTAATTTCCATCTGAAGTAAAGCAAGATCAGCATTAGGGTGATTTTTTAATCTCTCTACTTCTTCTTTAGAATGCATTCTTTCATAATGCAACTTCAGCTGCATGTATCGTTTAAATGGTTTACTACATAACTCACAAAAATAAGCGTATTTGTCTCCATGGAACGATCCTATATGTGCAAGAAGATGATCTGTAATCTTAGCAGCATATGGACATAGAGGACAAAGGTAGGGTCTATCTTTCGTGTCATGGGTAACCATATGCTTGTCTAAGTTAGTTCTTGTGGTGAATTTCCAACCACACACAGAGCACTCATACGGTTTGAAACCTGAATGTAAGAAAACATGCTTCTTTAATGCGTATCTATTTTTGAAGGATTTTCCGCAGATATCACAATTGTATTTCCTTCCTGCTACATGTATTCCAGAAAGATGTTTGTTCAAGGCAACCTGATCTTTATAACTTTTAGAACAGATGTGACATTGGAAAAGTCTTTCTGTCTGATGTACACGCATATGTTTTGTAAGGTCCGATTTTGTTTTTGTTCCACTTTTGCATCCTGGAAAGGTGCATTTAAATGGTCTCTCATTTGTGTGTACTAACATATGGCTTTTCAATTCAAAGTTTGTTTTTACTCGGAAACCACATGTCAAACACTTTATTGGTTTAACATCTGAGTGGCGATACATGTGAAACTTCAAATCGTTTTTACGTTTTGCTGCAAATTCACAAATTGTACACTTATAATTTCTTTCGTCGCAATGTTTCATTACATAATGGTGCCTGATGTTTTTTGGCCACTTTGTACGCCAACCACATATATCACAAACATGTCTCAATTCAGTTTCATGCTTACATTGATGTCGTTTTAAATCAACAGGGTTCTTAGATGCATAATCGCAACCTTCTTGGTCACATTTAAAAGGTTTTCCACCATTGTGCTTATAGGCAGTATGTTCTAAAATTCCATTAATTGATTTAAAAATCTTATTACATGGTTTACATTCAAAAATTTTTCGATGATTTTTTAAGTGATGTTTTTGAATCAGATTTTTTTCATTTGCAGTAAAGTCGCACAGTTTACATTCAAAGTGTCCAAACACAGGCGGCCTGCCAATTCTAGTGCCTTTAACTTTCTTACTTTTACCATTATTTATCCCATAAACAATATCATTGTCACATTCCTGTTTCACTGTAATATTAACTTTTGGTTTGTTTTTAGACTTTTTCCTTTTTTTCCTTGGATTGTAGTCATCATCTTTATCATCATCTGATGGAATATAATCATCATCATCTTCATAATCAGAATCTTCATCAACCTCACTTTTAATTACTAAGTAAGATTCACCTTCTTTATCATCTGACATGCCAAATTCACTTTCCATACTGTTTACATCCTCATAATTTTGTTCATCTATCTCATTTTCTCCACTTTCTATTACTTTGTTACCAGTTGCTTTATTACCTTTAGTATCTTGAGATCCGACAGTATTATTTTGCTTTGTATTCTTTTTAGAATACACTGATAATTTCTTTTGGGTCTTTAACATTGTTTTGGTTTCTGAACTTATGTTTTGTTGTTTTCCTAAAGATAATGCCCTAGCTTTCTTAACTTGAGTAGCATTTAAAGTTTCCACATGTTGTTTTGATTCATCTGTGTTTTTACTGAAACACCTTTTCCTTGACTTTTCAGGAACAGACTTTTCAAGTTTATTTAGTATACTGATCTTTGGTGTAGAGAGATCAATTCTAAGGTTTTCATCATTTGGCAAATTTTCAACTCTTACAAGCTTAACAGTACATTTTTTTGTAGCAAAATTGGCTTCTTTCAATTTTGTACTCTTGCTGCTTTGACTTTCAATCTTTGTAGCCGCTGATTTACTTGGTACGATAGCCTTGATTTTTACATTTACTTCTTTCTTTTTGACAACACTAGTTTCGACAGGTCTTGGATTTTGTATGGTTGTTGACGTTTTCTTGGGTTTAAATAAATTACATCTGTTATTCACTTGTTTGCTTGATGAGACCTTAACACTTTTATTCACTTTATCTTTCTTCACCCAAAGTTTCTTTAATTCTGTAATACTAGAGAGGTCAAGCAAGGTTGTCACTTGGCCCTTGGGTTGTTGTGGTATAATGGAATCTGGCTTTTTGTGAGATATTGCAGATTTCTTCAAGGCTACTGGATGAACTAATCCTTCACTGTCCTTGTTGGTAGCCATTGTACTGGTTGACAGTGCGCCAGATATGGCATAATTTTGTAAACTCTCCTCATTTAGCCCAATCTCTGCTAGCTCAATAACTGCTTCTTCAGATTCTTCAAAATGGAGAGATTCAGTTTTTACATTGTCAATGAAAACAGATCCTGGTGATGTATGAGCAACTGCAGGACATGTACTTTCCAACTCATCATCCATGTCAACTGATACTGTAAAATCATTATCATCAGTATCAGCATATCCATTGTAAGATTTTGTATGTAAATCATCAGTATTATGCAAAGTGGGTGTAAAGTCCCTTGTAAATGTTATGGATTTCTCGTGATCTTCACACAGTGAAGAAATAACATCATGTTCTTTTATATTGGATTTCTCCTTTTTAACATCAACATCCTTGGATTTCTCTAACCCTCTACAGCATTCACGCTTTTCCTTTGGTTCATCACATTCTGTTGTATCATATTGCTCTTTTGCATCAGACTCCAAGTTTCCAATCTTTTCCAAATACTCGTTTAACTGTTGAAGACTATTTTCCATTTTCAGCTTGAGGTTAAGATACTCCCTTTAACAACCAACATTCTATATCTGGTGAAGATTTTATTGCACCCCCAAAAAGCAACATGTTTCTTTGCTTTCTTCACAAGCCATTTTTCTTCCACATTACAGACTGCTTTCAAAAAAGAAACAAGTTCATTTTTTTCATTCTTACATCAATCTGAAGAATCTTCTTTGTTCGTTATTTCTTTGCACTTCTTCAGCAATAATCCTTTTTTTTTCAATCTAAAACACACAAAAAAAAAATCAAGTTAAGACATTATAATATATGGGCTTGCAGTAACATGGAAAGGGCAAGTCTTAGTACACTGGCATAATCATTTATATTTCTTATTCAAATTTCAATTTAAATAAAATAAACAACTAGAAATGTGTTGAAATGCCACAAATGCGCCGGTATGCAGCCAAAATTTCAAATGATTTAATAATATCTAGTTCCAATTTGTTTGCACAAAGCATTTTTTTTTCAAGGCATTTTAACTATTCAATGTTAACCTTTGGCAATTTGCATATTGCACATTTGTACCCAAGATAATGACTTTGGGAATTTTCAAATCTTTTTAAGTTTAAGGGGAATAACTGTCAAAAAAAAAAACATCTGACCATGACAAAATTAGAACTTGACTTGTATTTTCTGGTTAAATACTAGCACATGCAATGCCAAGCTCAGACATACATTCCTTCAGAAACTGAAATTTTCGAAATTTTCCAACGTTCGAGAGGGATGACTTTGTCCAAAATCATTGAACCATGACCAAATTCAAACTTGACCTGCTAATTCCTATGATGTATCTATATATGTCAAATATGAGTTTCAATTTTTTCCATTGGTTCAAAAGAAACAAGAGCGGACACAAACAGATGGACAACCAGGTGCATTATATAAGCTGAAAGTTTTTTGGTAAAACATGTAGTTTGCTCGTCTGACATGATGACTAGAAGATATGTTTCAAGTGTATACATTCAGTAGTTTTGAGGATTGATGCTACATGCAACGCTGTAACCAAGAATTTTCACAAAGGGCCCTAATTCAGTCAAAATCCATGTCAGAGTTAAGAGCCTTGGAAAGCAGATTCCAATTTTCATGAAGACATGTATTAGGTTTCAAGTAAAAGCTTTGTGTAATATGTAAAGAAAGTTCTTTTTTATATCCAACAGAAAATAAAGTCAATTTCAGTATAATTCTGACTGAAAATATGTCTGACAATCAGAATTAATGAAAGAATGTTCATTGTGAACAAATTATAACCAAATCTGAAATATTTTCAATAGAAATACAGTTTGTTTCTAAAAATAGTTTGTTTATAAATAATGTACATTTTACTTATATATATACATGTATGTATTAATTTACTTTTTTTAAACTTGCACATGATATATTGAATATGAAATAACTTCACAGCATTTACAGTTATACTATTTGTTTACATGCTTAGAATTATTTTTTTAGCATAGGTTAGTATTAGACAGAAAATAAGACACCCCATTACAGGATGTTTCATATTGATATTCATTACCTATCCTTAAAAACTCTGTCTTAGACCCCTTGCAGGTCACATGGCATTCTTACAGTACTACATTCTGTCAACAACCTGAAAATACAGATAATTAGACAATGACTTTATCTTTTATAATGCTAACTGTTGTTATATCAAACTATCAAACAACAACTCATTTTAATATTCATACAGCCTTAAAATAACAAGTCCTGAAGTTTGTTTTTTTGTTGTTTTTGTTTTTGGTTGGCTTTAAGGTTGCACCAAAACAATGTGGTCGTATGGCGACATTCATGCTTTATTGGTCAATGGTGGAGGAAGACCTAAAGTGCTCCTTCGAAAGAATCAAGTCACCCCTGGGATAGGAACCTATAGCATTTAGGGGCAAGTTGGTTTGAAATCAATGAGCTTAACCACAAGGCCATTTTTCTTAAAGTAAGCAGATTTCAGGTATGAACATGTATTGCATCACCCACAAATGATAAAAAAAACAAAAACACAACAACATGCAGTATGCAGCTTGCTGGCCAACAATATACTGTGGTGCACATCTTAGATACAGACTTAACAAGTACAGTTGTAAACAATGACATATTCCCCCTTCTTTACTGAAATTTGAAGGCAATTCTTATGTGTTAACAAAACTCTGCTCAGTGACTCTGGAGGTATATATGCCATCATGGTTCCATGTTAAATATCAAATGTCATAGGGTGAGAAAAATGTGCAGCCTGGTTGGGACCACATAACACAGCTTTACAGACTGCACTATCAGGGCACTTAAGAGTTTATCCCCTACTTATTGAACAGTTGTTATTAACAGTGATATCATAATAGCAAAACATGCGCAATAAATGCAGTTGATTAAGAATGTAATTTGTTTGCCTGGTATTTATAGTTCTACACTAATTTCAACACACTTTTTGCTGTTCATTAAACTACCTGGCATACTTGGATAAATACATGTATAAACTGCAAGTGACATTCTACTAATCTCATGTGATTGCTGAAAAAGCACTGAGAGAAATGCTCCATGTCTTATTGTCTGATATAACTGGGACCATAAATAATGTACATTTTTGGTCGGCAACATGAAATACTCAAACATACACAAAATCACCCAAATATAGCAATATTAATTTTTGCATGTATCAAATATAGATTATAATAAGAAAATGAATTAATATTTTAATTTTATAACATAATATGACTGGGCCCGCTATAACCTTCATTCATTCCATTAAAATGCGTAGTTCAGATGTTGTAAGAAAATATATTTGCTACATTTGCTTATCTAGGTTCATTTATGAATATGCTTGCAATTTAAGATAAAGATACACTTCAATTTTTTAGGTATAATTTTGTTGAAATTTCATATCATATACAGTCCATTGTATTATTATTTAAAAATTTAATAGCTTTAATGTAGTACATAATACTGTATTTGGGTATATTTTGGTTCAACACACAATGATAGGAAATGTATATTTGGGTATACATGTTTGCTTTTATCTTAGTGAGTGTATATTGTCATGATTTTATTCATTATAAAAACAGCACTTTTTAGTGTAAAACATTTATTTTTAGTATATTTGGGCAATATTTGTGTATATTTTTGTATATTTGGGCAACATTTGGGTGTGGTATTTGGGTATTTCTTGCTGCCCTTTTTGGTCACAGGATATAATTATTATAATAATAATATTGACATAAAAAAGAGGCTGTGTGTAGCAGGTAAATAAGACATGCACAGTACACTTTTAGGCTTTTAATAATGTTGCCAGTCTCATACTATTATTATTTAAAACATCTACTTCAAATGTATGATAATCAATAGACGCCTTGCAGAATGTAAGGTCAATTTCAGGCCACTCATGTTTTATTTAGTGGAGGCAGAAAGCTGTTTACTGACAAGCCTCCAAAGAAGTTATTTCACAATACTCATACTTAAATTGTTAAAATAAGCAGTTGTTATTAGCAAAATAAATCTTACATGTCTAAGAAATTTGTGAATTATTTGATGCTTTTGTCTGTAGGTTGATTTTGGGTTCGTTTTATGTAAAAGTTAAGGATATCACTTAATGGTGAATTTTAATAGTTAAAAAATGAAATATCAAAAATGAAAAATTATCATGAAATATTTTTCATAAAATTCGAAAAAGGTAACATAATAATATTTCCATCTCACGGTCGGCTCTCAACATAGAATATTTCTTTTCTTGAAAACACATGAAAACTGTGCATTAACAGAATAAAATGATGCGGAACAAAATATTATGCTACTACTTTAAATAGGTTTTTAACAAAACAAAACATATTTATTTCATACAGGCATTCTTATTCAAATATATGGATGCTCAAATAGGCAAAACACAGAAAACACCATGTCATTATATGTACTTAGATTCCTAAATACGTATTGTGGAGAAGGGATGCATGGACAAACGCTATAAAAAGATTTGACCAAGAAAATTAAAGCCGTGACAACCAACAAATAATTCTTTGCATGCATTTTACGTTAAATAATGTGACAAATTGTTTTGCTTCATGATTTTTACTATGTTTCATAACATAAATCATTATTAAATAACTGGCAGGTCTAATAATTTCTCCATTCCACATAGTAAATTAATCGTTAGCAAAAAAAATAAAGTTTAGCCTTAATTTTACTTACAGGCTTTTCTGCAGAAGTGGAAATATTTTAAATGACTGGGTTATGCATTTCAGAAGTCAAATAATATCTGTATAATTTAGATAGATGTTCCACAAATATATGTATTTCAGTCAGTTGCTTTCATTTTTTTCTGTAATCTGATATTTCTAATAATATTGGTAGTTTTGAATTGTAGTTTTGAAACTGAGTTTATGCTTGAGGTTAAAAATAAATTAAAGATAATTTAAAATAAATCAATGACAATTAAGGTTGCATGGATTTGATCATTTTTTTTTCTTTATCAGGTAAGCCTAGTAACGTATGTTATTTGTACACTGCCTCTTGCTTGCCAAACACTGGTACATAATAATAATAATAATAATAATAATAATAATAATAATAATAATAAATAATAATAATAATGATGATGATGATGATGATGATAATGATGATGACTTTATTTAAAGGGCAACATAGTTTGCAAGTTCAGGCTTGCTCTCGAGTCTCTATCAAAATGTACATATAGCATACAGTTCAAACAAATGATTTATATAAAGATACATATTGTTTATATATTAAAATGATGGGAGAAGAGTGTTTAGGGATTTATATACTTAAATGGCCTTTTTATAATTTACTCTCAGAGAATTCTATAAATACAGTTTAATTCAATAACTTATCAGTGGGCGCATTGAATGTTAGTATCTGTAGCTTATCCAAGGTTTTTATGTTCCAATAATAATGGATCAGAAGTTTTTTGTCTGCAGAAATGGATAGTTTATTAAAGTAAAAAAATTAAATTGATTTTTATGCAGACAAAAATGTATAAAGAATAAAACCCAAAGACAAGGTCATTTTTGAGCATACAATGAACTTAGGCTATTAGCAGACAGCTTGCTGCCTCCAGATATAACCTGTGGTCAGTAATGATATGCAGCATTCTATTTTTAGTAATTTTGAAAGGGGTCTATAAGAACAAAGTTTGAACATGTATAATTTGGAAATTTTTATATAAATCTAATTATTGTAAAATTTTCACCATTACTAAATACTAATCCATGACAGCAGCTTGTATATTCTTTAAAGTTCGGAAAACACCCTGTCCTTAAAATATTGATTAAGGTTAACAGTAAACAACTCAAAATTGTAGTAAATTCATTTTCAATAACAAACGAGTCTGATGCTAAAACTGATCCTTGCCTCAGCCTCGTTCTGGAATAAAACTATTAATTTATGTAGTTTTGTTATGAAACCTGGAAATAAGCCTCTAATTTGCGTCAACATGTTGCACTGAAAAAACATTATGTACTGATATTTGTAAATTAAAGACACAATTGCACGTGTAAATACGGATTAAAAATGAAATTTTGGTTACCATTTTTGTTTTTATTTGCAAAGGGAGATAACAACTTATATTTCCCAATATATTGTACATTTTATAGTTTGAGACTCACATAATAAATGTGCGGTACCACGGCGATACAATATGTTTATTGCTTGCTTTCACAGACACTTGGGATTTGGAGCTCAAAACGCCTTTAAAATCCAAATAAAATGCATATTTGTCAATCCCAGCCTAAAATTTCATATTTCAACATCTATAATAATATTATAGATGTTGAAATATGAATTTTTTTCAAAACGGCTTATTTTAAAGTTTTTTGATATATATGATCAGTACATGTGCTGGGATTGACAAATATGCATTTTATTTGGATTTTAAAGGCGTTTTGAGCTCCAAACCCCAAGTGTCTGTGCTTGCTTTTTGTTTATTTGTTTGTTTCAATATTAGTCTTATTAAGTTCATAAGTTATAAGCATCAGTTTGTGTTCTATGGAATGGCATTATTGATTCACGAGATTTTTCATTTTGCCTGTTAGGTTTATAGGTGTGTTGAAAGCAAAGCTATGAAGCAGCATGTACATGTACAGTACGTCGGTGACATTTGAACTTCTTGAATTCTCGGGTTTATGTTCACGAATTCACAATTTCAACTTCATGTATTCACGTTTTCAATATTAAGAATTCGAGAATTCACGATTTCAACTTCATGAATTCTAGATTTCAACTCAATAAATTCACATTATCAACATTTTATCTTTAAGAATTCACGATTTCAACTCCATGAATTTACGTTTTGAATTGCACGATTGTACTAATTCGATCATCTCCGTGAATTCACAATTTCAACTTCATGAAAATATAATCTTGAATCCGTGAAGTTGAAAACATGAATTAATGAAGTTGAATTCATGAAGTTGAATCGTGAAATTCATTTGAAACATAAATTCAGGAAGTTGAATTAATGAAGTTTAAATTGTGAAGTCGTGAAGTTGAAATCTTGACTTCGTGAAGCTGAAATCGTGAATTCCGTAGGTTTAAAACGTGAATTCGCCAAGTTAGAATTGTGAATTCAAGAAGATGAAGTTGAAATATCCCCAACGGAAGCATATCTCAAGATTTATGCTGATTTTTATTAAATGTTTTTAAAAGTAAAATATTGCGAAGTAACCAAAAGGAAGCAATTTACACATTACAAACAGTACTCACAATTAATTAACTCCCACCCCCCCTTAATTTTCCAAAATGAGATCAAAATATTCGAAAAAATAGCCTTTACTACAATAAAAATGCGCGTATGATTATAAACACTGAATCATTAATCGCATGTAACATACAATTAAATCATCATTTGAATTTGTATACTTTTCATTTTTCTCAGGTTTGATTTGATTGAAATATTTTGGCTCATCTGCATGGAGGCTGCAGCTCCGCACTGGAAACAAAATGATCTAATGATCGAATGTGTAATATTCTAAAATATAAGAGTAAGGTCCTCTAATCACGGAACTATTTTACCAAATGGCATTGTGTGGAATTAAGATGTTTGTAATACATGGATCATTTTGATTTGGGGTTGATTTTGTTTTTGTTGTTGCTGTCGACTGGTCTTACCTGGATAGACTTATCAAACATTCTATATCATATATGCACCATATATGGCTTTTGCAAAAATTGACACAGACCTTCAAATTGCAATTGCTTTCCTGCGCACTGGTCCGCCCAACTCTAGAGTAATCCTCTATCGACTCACCTTTAATCTGTACAACGCCGTGCCGCGTGTTTTGTCATGAGGGATTACCTCCTTACAAGCACCACCGCACAGATATTGGCTTAGTTAAGATATAAGAGTGGTTCTAATTAAAGAGTATAAATGAGCCTAAACTAACCGTTAACCAAATGATTTAAATCCTATATGCCATGAATTTAAGTGAGGTCCCGACATATTCCTCATGTGGTTTCCGGAAGATGGTGTATTTTCACAAAAATACGTAGACTTGATATGTATTCAGAGGGAATCGATGCGTGGGCTACGCGGGCATTCTGAGACCGTATTTCGTAGGCGAACACGGATGTTGTTAACACAAACCTCCGCCAAACTCAAATCGATTATTAGGTGGTTGCGAAAAATTGTATGTTTTTACGAAAAGTACGTAGACTGTATAAACATTATGAGGGAATCGCCGCGCGGACTGAAGCCTATGATACGCAGGCATGATGAGACCGTATTTTTAGGCGAACACAGTTTTAATATATATTGCTCTAATTATAAGCCTTCCGACTATTGCAGCAATCATATTTTGTATTGAAATTGGACAAACGAATAAACAACTTCATTTTCAGGAAAATGGTGTATCATTTTCCCGGGAACAAGTAGACTTAATTTGCATCCTAGCTGGGGGAATGGCCGCCACAAGGCCTGGAGCCTATGCATCGTAGGCATCCTGAGACTTAATTTCTTAGGCGAGTATAAATTGTAAACATCAGCCTTTTGGAAATGAGTTGGTGACGGTTCTGAGGCTAGCTGTGTCATATAATGCTGTAAACATCACCCATCAGGCTATAGCAGCGTTCATTTTTTCAGTAAAATCGGACGGACGGGTATACAACGATGGTTACCGGATAATGGTGTATTTTTACGACAATAATAAGTCAGAGGATAATTTGCCGCGCAGACAGGAGTCTTCTGAAGGTGAACAAAATGTGCTCAATGTATATAGCTGAATACATCAGCCTTCATGCGGCTATAGAAGCAGCCGTTTAGCATCGAAATCGCACAAACTATGTCGACGGTGGCTTATGTATTTTCTACGAAAGTCCGTGCTTTGCCATTATGCCTTCTCTTGTTTTTGATTTGTACCATTGGGCTCCTTGCCGATGGATCTGTGTGGCTGTGGCCAGATGAATACCTCCATTTCTTGTTGGTCTTTGTTTTCAGAGAAAATCGCTGCGCGGACTGGAGTCTATATGCTACGCGGGCATTCGGAGACTTTATTTATTAGGCGTATACAATTTGTAAATATCAGCCTCCATGCTTTTGCAGCAGACATTTGATATTAAAATCGGGTTAATGGATAGGTGATGGTGGTTTCCGGAAATACGTAGACTTTATATATACATTAAGAGAAAATCGCCGCGCAGTGGTCTGAAGCATATGCCTCGTGGTCATTCTGAAATCTTATTTCTTAGGCGGATACAATTTGACATACCGGTTTTCAAGACATGCAATTCTTTAAAAGTCTTATTAATAAGACTCCATGCTGGAGTATTTTTTTGCCAAAAGACCATGATTTATACATGCATAACGTTTGTAGAGTTTTTTAAGACAATGCTACATGAACAATTTCTAGGCGTAGATCATCAAAGACCCCAAGTGGCTGGAAAATGAGGTATTTAATCTGTATATCAGTGTATATGGAACTTATTTAAGTTAAATATGAAACGTTTATGCATATGTGTACGTCATGCAACAAGAATTAGTGAGGAGAATATATTATCCAAATGTATTCAGGGGAGCATTTATAGACCAAGAAAAGAAGAGAGTGACAACTGGCATTTTCAAGAAAAATCTGAAGACTTAACTTGCAACGGCCTCATTGATGAATTGCAAAGGAAGAGTTACTTCGTGTATATTTAATACATTGTACAATTTTGCCTGTTTACTGACAGAAATAATCTGCTTTTCTTTGATTCGCATAAATCTTTTGAAATCTAGGAAATTCTTATTAAACATGTCTTAATTCAACAGAAGAATGCACAAATTATGTTAAGGGAATTACTGATTAAGTAAATTTGGTCCTTTTTTTAAAAAAAACGAACCTGCCAGTTTTAATTAGCACTATATTTAAATTTATACTGCATTTACCTATAATGTTACCTCTCCTTTGTGTATTCATTCACATTTGAGCCGCTTCACGACAAAACCAACATAGTGGGTTTGCGACCAGCATGGATACAGACCAGCCTGCGCATTCGCGCAGTCTGATCAGGATCCATGCTGTCCGCTTACCAACTCTATTAATAATAAAGTGGAGAAACTGACAGCGAACAGCGTGGATCCTGATCAGACTGCGCGGATGGGCAGGCTGGTCTGGATCCATGCTGGTCGCAAACGCACTATGCTGGTTTTGTCGTTACGCGGCTCATTTAAAAAAAGAGACTGAATAGCAATTATCAAATTTTTCAAATATCAAATTTTGAGCATCATATTATTAGTATATCTTTAATATTATTGTTTACAGTAACTGAATTAACTAGCTGTATCAATTTTGTATTCTATCGTTGAATTATTATACAACATCAGGTAAAATACTTTGTGTAAAATGAGGCCTTCAATTAATATCAGTTTAATCTGACATTGTAGATCTTTGTAGATGTATGTAGAAATTGTCATTTTTTCTCTTAAAAAGGAATTGTGCTACTTATTATATAAATTTTGAATATGTTATATGGTCGTCACATGCAGCATTAAAACGACTGTTTGCAATATAATCATAACCCTCTACAACTCAGCGTCTCTAGGTATATATAAGCTTTCAATCGTTTATACAAAGCCATATAACCTGTCAAAAATCTTTATAACAAAACAACAATTTAACAACAAAACCTAACGATAATCACACGACTTACGATAAGATGACGTCATATGGTGAAAATAGTAGGACATATTTCCAATCTATGCATGTTCTAAGTTGATCAACTAATAATAATAACTTTATATAAGATTTTCATATAATTTAATCTTTTTTTGTAAAGAATACAATTTGACATATAAAAACATGAAAAACATAAATAAAACCATAAACACAATTTCACAGAATAACAGAGCAAGGCCTTATAAACGCCATTTATAAACGGGCCTACTAACTATACAGGGGAAATGTTAAGTATTATGACGCTCATGTTTGAACGTAACTTGTCTTCCATATGATAAATCATTTTATCACATAAAACGCGGCGCGGGAGTGTAATAAAGCCATTTAATAAAAACGATATTACACTAGTGTAATAACACTTTGACGTGACGTCATTTGCGCTATATAGAAACATAGCGTTAAAACGCGCTAATGTTAGCGTTACACTATAGGCGCGTCATCGAAAAATTACTCATTTTAACAGTTCACTGTTCTTATTTTATATATGTGATAAATAGAATATTACATTCGTGTAGATTCAATACTAAATTTATTGAACTCGTTGAATAAAACAATATTATGCTCGCCAGAGGCTCGCATAATATGATTTTATTCAACTCGTTCAATAAATTTAGTATTAAACTACACTCATTCAATATCCTCTATAACTTTCACGAACACATAGTCTATGTACAAAGGTGGTTTATCGTATAATATATAATGTTGGGAGCACATATACCACATTGGAAATTTCCATTTAAATTTGGCCCCGCCCCCATTCATTGCTATAGGCCGGCTGCTCACTAACAGTATATCACAAACAAAACCATGTGTTCTTTTGTGTAAATAAGGTCAACCAGTGACTATTGTATACATACGTACCAATTAAATACACAGTCAGCCATTTTGTATAAAACTGTTAACACTGGAAACGCCCTTCGTAAATGGCACTATATTTTGTTGCGTATGAAAGATTGCACTTTTTTCGTAGTTTGTGCTTGACTTGAAATTTCTTTTTTTATACAAATGAAAAGCTAGATTCATTATGAATTATAATAGCAAAGTCATTTTGCTAAATAACCATCATATTAAGGATATCTAACAGTTGGTTTTTCTAGGTTTTCACTAAATATTTCTCTTCATATACTTCTATATCCGGTGTTCAAAACATAACCATTATGTATGTTAATTTATATACAAATAAAATGATCTATATTCTGTTCCATTATTATAACGAAATACACTCTGTAGATGACATTGCGACACTATATATGAGCCGCGTCACGACAAAACCAACATACTGGGTTTGCGAGCAGCATGGATCCAGACCAGCCTGCGCATCCGCGCAGTCTGATCAGGATCCATTCTGTTCGCTTACCAACCCTATTACAAGTAGAGAAACTGATAGCGAACAGCATGGATCCTGATCAGACTGCGCGTATGAGCAGGCTGGTCTGGATCCATGCTGGTCGCAAACGCACAATGTTGGTTTTGTCGTGACGCGGCTTATATGGAGTTTGATTTAACAAATGAAAATAATACAAAGTACAACGTACATGTAGTACAAAATTGAAAAAATGGTAAAATGTTTTATAAAAATGCTTCTGCATGAAAATGTAAAAAATGACGAAACCTCGTAAGTATTTAAAATGATTAAAATGACTAATTCAATAAACACTGTAAGAATTAACAATAAAACACATGAATCATGCATAACAAACAAATGAATACAAAATAAAAATGTAGAAATGTGTGTTCAATAAGTGACATACAGTTTGTTGTATGATGTATTTTTATCATAGCATTGCAAAATAAGATGTAGAGCCGGGTTTTTTTTTAAAAAAAACTCAAGACTGCTGAAGAAATCTCTCAAATATAATAAACATAATAATTAGAATTTGCATTATATGGTCTACAAAGTTTAAAGATACACTATGTCATTTTTGAATAAAACATTTTTTTTGCAGAAATTTATTGAAATCTGTAAAATGCTTATTAAATAAGACTTACTTACATAAAAGAACCTATAAACTATGTATAGGAATTAGGTCAAGTAAAACAGGTCCTTTCTTAAAAAACTGTCAGCTTTTTTAATGACACTATATACAAATGTATACATAGAGTGTCCACCCATAGTGTGTAGAATTTAAAACATAACATATCTACTTTATGTGAAGTCAAAACATGTTTAAATTGAATTATTAACAAAAAAAAACTCTGTAGCAATTTTTAATATTTTCAAATATCAAATTTAAGCATAGTAAATCTTTTACATTCTGTTGTAATAAAGACATATTCATTTGAGGACTTATTTCAAATCTTTGACTCAATTCTATTTAAATTAATGGTGAGATAACTTATTTACTCTCTTCTCGAGTGGCTTCTTCATAAGATGGAGGCGCTAAAACAGTGTCCGGGTGTATGTCTTCTTCGTCTATTATACCATTTATTTCGTCTGTGTGAGGCAGTAACGGTGGGGCACTAGGTCCTACAACAGCACTATATCTGGGCGGTTCATCGTCCGCCCTCTCTCCGACCCTCTCCCGGTCTCTCTCCCGTAATGCAGCAGTCTGTATTTTGACAATGGAAAACATTAACTACTAAATGTACTAAATAAGTAAATACTGCTTTAAGTTTGAAAACGGATATACCTTAAAATGTGTCCGATAGATTCCACAAACAAAATTGCTTTGTGTGCAACGTACATCTCTGACACCCTTCAGTATAGAAATTTAATTCGTTCATTTATGTAAAGGTATTAAATGTTTCGAAAACTACTTTATACAATACAAACCTATAAAACTATGGCATCAGCAACGTCCGGTTACCTCGATTAATAGAGCATAGCATTGGACTGTGAATCGGACAACAAGGATTCGACTCCCGGAGATGCAGGTCATTTTCAAACTGATTGATCATGAAATCCTTTATACGGTCATATACAATGTACATCTACTCTGGCATGTACAGATGTAATAGCAGTCCCTTGTGAAAATGAAGGCATTGGTACCGGTAAACAGCTTGCCAGTCTGACCAGGAACGATGCGGTGGCTGAACTGATTGTGGTCTGGTGAATTCAAAGAAACTTACAGCCGTCATCAACCACCAGTTCCAACTCTGGCGTCCAACAGTGCAAGCGTATAAATGAATTTTACAAACTTGAATCACGACTGGAAAAAACGTAAAAATTTACATGAGATACTTAAATAAGATATACTAACCGCTTCTTCTTCTTCTTCTTCTCCGACGACGCCGCCGACGACGGATTCAGTATCATTTTCTTTGCACACTTTACTACATCTTATATACTTTACAACGAGTACCAGCAGTACCAACCCAGCAACCACGCCGATCACAATAAATATTATGGTCTTTATAGGAAGCCCGTCGTCGGGTCGGCAATCTGATTTATCGCCACATGGGTTATACCCATTACACTTTAGTTCCGTCGGAATACAATTACCGTTATCACATTCATAATCATTGCAAGAACCTGAAAAATAGTTTGATAAAAACTTATGATTTGCATGATATATAAATTGTATGGAGCGTCCATGGCAAAGTGGTTTAGGTCATTGATTTCAAAGAATTCGTCCCAAATAGCTAAAGGTTCGAATCCTGCAGGTTCGAATCCTGCAAAGGACGTTGGGTTCGTTCATGGGAGGAAGCTATCCAGCTAACCTACGGAACGTAGGTGGCCCTACTCAGGTGCCCGTTCGCGACTGAAATAATGCACTGATGAATACACGAAGTCTTCATCCACTAGTAAGGACATTTACCAGTATCATTTGTGACACTGACTTAATCTAAAGGTGACAAACTTTGATTATTTCACCACTGATAGGTGGTATAGAACATTGATATCAACTCCCGAAATTTTGCAGTAGCTGTAGACCATAGCACTGTCTTTAAGACTTGTGAGTCTCTTATCCAAATGTTGTATTAATCATAATTGATTGACTCATAAAATATAAATGTATATCACAACAGACACAAAGTCACATTACGTGTAAATCATTCTTTAGTTAACAACCTTTATTTAGGCCACAAATAGTCATTTACAGAACGATATAGAAATAATGGACTTCCGGCTGATCATCAACTCAAAATGTCTAGTTTCCTTATTAAAAGCAAATAAAAATATATCCGACAACCCGTAGAGACAGCTTAAACAATAAGACACAAACATTAAAAAAGAACAACAACAAACAACAACAGCAACAACAAAACAAAAACAATAACTTTTAGGGGAGGACTACCATGAGCTATTGTAGCTCTCCGTCCAATTCCTTTAACTGCTTAAATTGTAAATTATTAACATGTATATATACGTTGAATAAAAATATGTTTAAACCAAAAACAAAAAACCTTTTACCATCCGAATGAAGCACGTTGAGAAAAAGTTTGAAGGAAATATATGAATCATCTAAATAATTTGCAGCATCAAATTTAATGACCAATGAATTATATTTTTCTGTAGTAAACGACTGATTTATAGGTGGTCTGTTGCTCCCACAGTATTCACTATTGAGTCCTGAAATAAAACAATTATCATAAAAATGCTATGATTAAATAAAAAAAGTATTCATTTTATAGCTTAAATAAATGGATGAGTTTTTTAATCATATTTAAGAGAAATATGCATTGAATTTAAGAGTTTTTCCAATTACATTTCAGTTACTATAGCAACAGTATCTTTCTTCATGTAGCGATAAACGTACATGTATATAAGGAACAATCTTGTAGCGCTCCTTAACTGTAATATCTTGTACCCTACCCAGTCACATAACATCATAATTAGTTTGACTATCCTTCAACTTTCCCTTAAATATACATAATAGCATAATTAGCATAACTTATCCTTTAACTATCCCCTACATAATTAGTTTGACTTACCCTTTAATTTCCCCTAAAATAATTAATTTGACTCATCCTTTAACTTTCCCTTAAATGCCATTGTTGAGCGAGGCAGATATAAGAAACAACAATTAATTGAAAGGTTCTACATATATGGTTAAGTCCAATATTGTCTTTAATGGCATTTTTCATTTCTTCAAAGAGTATATGTTCCTGATGCCACGTAGTATTAGTTTGGAGCGAAGCGATGAACCAGCGTTTATAGCGACATTGTTTGAATGAACTTGTTCATGGACAATTACGGAAAACTGAAATGTCATATTATCATGCCAGATCTACTGCTAAAACTATAGTACTTCTATGTATCTATGTAATACCAAACATTTTACCTGAAATTGGCTTGTTTGATTTCTCCCAATTGACTTTATCAGTACTTTGTCTAAATTCAACACACGATTCACCTTCATTCTTAAATTCTGGAATATTAAAAGAAACAAATATGATTTTACTTAGGTCTCAATATCAGACACAAAAACCGAACCACCATGCTATTATTTGTGGATGCCAAGTCTTTAAGTGTGTGACTGTCTTCTTCGCCTTCTCATATCACAAGAAGTGTTTTTATATCTTTAAAGTAACACACTCTTATTTTTATATTACATACAATAATAAATGTTTCAAACCATGCAATTAAGGAAAGTCGATAAAAGAATGCTGTCTATAAATCGGGAAACCAGCTGAATTATGCAACTGAACTTTTCATAGAATAGAGGTACATTTTTTCACTGGTATTTAAAAATGATCTAAAGCCACAACAATGTTTATCAAAGTTTAAAAAAAGATAAATAATAAAAAAATAAATAAAATATTAATAATGATAAGTAAATAATCAAAGAAATTGAAGGATATGGTGGTGAACTATGCGATTAAGAAGTTTCGTATTTGTGTTTCCGATTTAACCACTGACTTGCCAATGTAAACATTTATAGAGAATTTAGTTCTGTAGTACAATTTTGTTTTGGTTTGGTTTTACGTCGCACCAAACACATTAGAGGTCATATGACGACTTTCCAGCTCCGCCGCACATTATTTCATGCACAAGCGGGCACCTGAGTAGAACCACCGACATTTCTTAAGCTAGTTGTATAGCTTCCTCACATGAAAAGAATAATAAAAGTCCTTGGCGGGACTGAAGTACCTGAAAGTGGTTTGAAGTATAGTGATACAATATAAAACTTTTTATACATAATTGAATGCTATACAGAATGATACTAGATCAAGTATTAACAAATTCATACACACATTACGATATTAATAACGATACCGCAGATAAAAACATTCATTGTATCATAGTTTGAAAACCTGTCAGTTAAATAGTATACCAATATATGCACAGTGCGTTAACTGGAGTGCCGCACTTAGTTTATCTAGAGCATGCTCGTCGATTAGCTCATTGTTTCTGGGGTTTTCTTAAGAGAGAACGATAGAAAAGTCATATTCAGATGCTTGTACATTGGTTACTTTTTTCTAGGGTTTCATATTACGACTACAGAGAACGTGTTTTCATTTTTGTCTATGATACAAAAGAAGAAGAACATCAAAACACTTGGCAATCTGGTTTATATATATATACTTGGTACAAATCAGATTGCTTCGATCATGTCTGATGCTCTTTCTATAAGTACATAGATCAAGACAACAAAAATATGGATACTGACACTGGTACATATGTATACATTAATTGTATCATAGTTTGGAGACTTTTCTGTTGAAAACTGTCAGAGTTTAATCGAATACATGAATATGCATGCACAGTGCGTTAACTGGAGTGCAGGTACTAGTTACCTGCACTCACAGAGCATGACCATTGATTAACTCAGTGTTCATTGGTTACTTTTTTTCTGGGATTTCATATTGTGACAACAAGTAACATGTTTTTATTTCTAACTATGATACAAAACGGAAAGAACATCAAAACACTCGGCAATATGATTTATACTCGGGGGGGGGGGGGGTACGCCCCCTCGCACAAATCAAATAGCCTCGTGTTTCGATGCTCTTTCTATTACATATTACATACTGTGTCAGATTTAGCTTTAGCTGCAATATCGTGAAAGACATGACCGCGTGGCCTTGACCCAATTGAATACCAATCAAATGGTACAGATGCCGAAGGAAGGTAACTAACTACATGGCAAATACATGTATTTACTTAAATAAAAACAAGATTAAATGATGAATGATGAAAAAATCCTAGATCTTCTGCGTATTTGATATTGGCCTTGACCACAATGAACTCTAGTCAAAATATATTGACGTGCCAAAGCTAGATTCAGAACAAACAAACATACATGTTTGTTCTGGGTCACAGGGCACAATTAGTTAGACTATATAACCTCATCCAAAACCCAAGGTCATTAAATTCATTATAGTGGTTCAACGACCAGCCAGTATAGGGATCTACATGCATGCTTAGCTGACTTAGTGTCCAATGAAAACGCTGTATTTCTTAAAAATTATGTGCGTTAATTTTCATAGAAGAAAAAAAGTCGATACTATATTGAAATCCGTTCATAGTCGCCTTCTATTTTTCATAGTGCTTCATAGTACCGCGTAGTGACGTAATTAAGGGCCAAATAAAGCTTGACACTAAATATGTTAGTGTTCATCCTTAGCTGTTCTACAGAAATTAGAAACATTCTCCTGTCGCTATCGCTCCCGTCGAAGTTTCTAATTTCTGTAGAACAGCACGGATGAACACTAACATATACGTAGTCTTGCAAGGAAGGGCAGACTGCCTCGACGTTTGCTTACATAGGATGGACATGATATTAAAGAAAAGTGTAAAGGTTTATACCTAGTATTTGGAATATAATTTTATTCCACGTGACTGAACCTGCCCACCAGTTTCCGCTGCTTATTCCAAGATTACATGATCGGCTTCCGAAAAATGTAGGACTTCTCGAAAACCCAACTTCCGCACTTGGAATTCCATAGTTGGCCAAAATAATGAGTCTCCCACAATTTTTCTCCATATTATCTGTGATTTAATTTATAAAATCGTACATGTTTAATAAAATTATCAAGATAAAACTCAAGTTTAAAAACTCTATATCTTTTAACTACAGCTAGACATGTATTCACTCGCTATATCTACAAAAATGTAGCAGGGTTGGATGCCCAAGGTAACCCTCTACGTCTCTGAAAGAAAATTGCCGTTTTTCCACTAACCGTGTAAAATTATTTATACTTTCCGCGAATTCTTCTCAATTTATGGAATTCAAAACCGTAACACAGACACTTGGGGTTATGTGCGTGGCTCCCCTTCTTGATCCGCACTTGTATACACCATGTCAAAATATTTTTGCATGTTATTACGACCTGGTCACATTTCTTGAACATGAAACTTGTTTTCCGCTATTCAAACTTGTTCACATGTTAGACACTTAACCGTCTCATATTTATATAAGCAAAAATTTAAAACTAATTCTTGTAATATTAATATTCAGGAGCGGAGAAGGGCGGGGTCTATACTCCAAGTATCTGTGATTTTTATTAGAGGTAAAACAATACTCACATACAACAGAACCGTCAGCCACAACCTGACGGTGTAATCCTGCTATCATTAAGCACCCCCATACTGTCAAAATTCTGACCCCCGAGAAATCAGTAATATCCAGTTTCTGTTCTTTGTACTAAATTATACAAGTTATAATTATGCTCTTAATATGATTACAATTCACGCGCGTGTAAGTATTTTGCAATACCTATGCTCCCATTCGTGTATACACAAATGATGCGTTAGTATTTATAGTTATGTGTCACAAACAGTGTGTAAATAAACTTCTCGCGCGAGTAGCCCTCAAATGTCACTAAAATGTCACACACACACAAACCACAACATTATTAGCTTATAGGCCTACACATGTATAGCATTTCGTTAACAACATCCGTTATTAAATCATTTCACATCGTTAATATTGCTCTAATTAACACATACATACGAAATTATCTTGCTTTTATCATACATACAGTCATACTTGCAAGTGTTACTCATTCAACTATGATAGCATTTTACATTTTTATCTCGCTAGATAAATATCCTTCTTTCAAATATTTGTTTAAACTTGAACAATGATACCCACGCACACCGGTATATTTTGTTAAATGTTGAATTAAACTGTTTATCTATCAAAACCATTATGCTATTAATATACATATATATAACTTTGACAAAAAAAAACATTATCGATCAAGTAAACATGTAAACTTTATATATAAACAATAGCTTAAAGACAATGCTACTTGACACAACATAAAGTTTTTAAGGTTCAACAAATTACTTCTTTGATAACTTGAACAGATAATACATTGACAGGCCATTTTTTTTCTTCAAAATTAAGAAGTCACTCAGTCAAACACACATTTTGATTAAGGACTGTCAACAGTCGAATCTTAAACGGTCACTTTTTAATTAATATAGTTAATAAATACTGATTTTTAAGGGCAATTAAGAAAAAGAGAAAAAAAAAACAAGACAAACAAAAATAACATGTAAACGAAACAGTAAAAAGTCCTCGATATATAGATCTATATGTATATATTTATAATTTACAATGTACGTAGACTTATGTTTACTTATTTATAATAATAATAATAATAAATAAATGATATATGAATGCCTCCAAGCAATGATACGAAAAACGAATTGCATGTAACATTGATGCTATGGAAACATACAAAACTAAACTATTACAAAGACAAGTAAAAACAACATATGTATAAGACGTTGTGTCGTGTGTACATAACAATATTTCGATAAAAATGTTCTGTACAGTTAACACATTAAGTAGTAATACAATCTTAAAGGTGATCAGACATTGATTTCTCAGGTGATATCTAATGAAAGATAATAGATTATTGAACCCGTCTGAACTGTGATTGTGGCGCCGTTATATGTCGCAACACCGCTAAATGTCGCATTTACAGCTAAATGTCGCACCATTGCCGCTAAATGTCGCAACCGCCGCTAAATGTCGCAAAATCATTTGCCGTTAAATGTCGCAATGTTAACGTTAAATGTCGCACGGATTTCCCCTACCGTTAAATGTCGCAACACTATCGTTAAATGTCGCAAGATGTTGAACTCGAGTTTTATATAAATCAGCGGATCTGTGGATTTTACAGATACAGCGAGTGTTGTATTCTTACGCATTTTACAAAACTTTTTCTTACTCATACTATGTTGTTATTGGTGGTGGTCGTGTTAGCGGCGGTAGCAGCGGTGTCGGCGAAATTAAAACGCTTTTTAAGGCAAAACTTAGAAGAATTAAAATTACCTCTTATGAAAAAGGTAACAGAAATATTTCATGGATTTTTTTGGTTGAAAATATGGAAAAATATACTGAAAAACATTACAAAAGGAAAAAAGATATTTCAGACGTATGTATAAGTTACCTGCCCTGAGATTACCCCAAATAAGTGGCTTGCCCGGCTATAGACTACACGTGAAAATCAAATAAAAACAAAACAATATAGAATTCTATACCTATCAATGAAATTGTCAGTGTCAGTTCTAGCTAGGCGT